GCAACCACCAGTAAACAAGCAACTGCCTCAGATACCTTAGCAACACTTCAGCAACCATAGAAAATACCACAGTAATCATCTGACTGCACTCTCACACCCATTTGGGAACAGCTTAAGCTGCACAGTCGCTTTTGTCTGCTGCTGTTGATGGATGTCCTCCTTAGAGTATCTGATTTCCTGTCCAGGAACCTGCTTATGTGATTTGGGGAAAGGGGGAAAAAAATAAGCAGCTTAATACATTTGGTTGCTTATGGTGTCCTAAGGCAGTGAAATGTCCTGAAGAGCCACAGCACTGCATGATTTTGGAGTTCTCTCCAGCTAATTATCAGATCCTTTGTGAGTTGAAGCAGGTGTTTAAGAGCATGGTTAGTAATGCTGTTGTCATGGTGCCGTACTCCCTACAGTCCAGATCCACCATGTTGGAGTACGGATCTTCAGTGGCCACTAGGGGGCTCATCCACTCCAACTCCTCCCGTGCACAAGCTACATGCCAATCATCAGTAGGCTTCAAGCCTCTTCACAAACCCCACTGGCTCCAGATTAACAAGACGGTAAAGAAGGAAATGTCTCAAACATTGTTTATTTATTTATTTATTCAGTAATTAATAGACTATTAGTGTTGTATTGATTGTGATTTTGTTTGTGTGTTTGTGCTCTACCTGCAGTACCGTGAGAACTATCTTTCAGCTCAGTCCCTTTTTATTAATTTCTGCCTGGCGCCCATCAGCCTTGTGACGGAGCTGGTGCCCTACCTTGCCAAGCTCAGCAACCCCATGCGGAATCAAGGTAACCACTTGTATACGAAAGGGGAAAGTCAAGAAAAATACTAGAATTTCCAAAACTAGTTCAAAAATACTGTCATGATGGCTTTATGATAAAATTTGTGTTGCACATGTTTAGGTGTTTTTCTAATCTCTCACTGTCTAAAGATGAAGGAGTTTTATGGCGCTCTCTGTCCTTTTGTTTGTTTTGAGAATATGCAAAGCACATTGAAATTCAGGACACGCACTTCCCCCGACACTCTCCTCCATTCGAACTCATGGCTTCTCTCATTTCCTCTGCCTTTCAGCTCAGATAGCCTTCATCCAAGATGTTGGCCATCTCTCTCTCAGGAGATTTCCTGGCAGGTATGTGAGGCCAAAGATTGACCATGAACATGATGGTGGCAATTTAACCCTTTTTGCTCTTTGTCTGCATTTTTAAACTAATATTTGAAATTAGATAATATTTATGTTTATGAGATATTATGAGACACAGTTTAAAGTTAATTTATAATGTGAGGCTAGGATATAATTTAACTTACTAACCAGTTAACGTACACAATCAGTGCTTATACCTGCACTCAATAATCTGACCATACTTGGATTCCTGCAGTTATTCGATTATTCAAATGGTCATTTAAACAGTATACTCCAATCTAGAAATCCGATTAAGAAATCCGACGAAGAGAGCTGGATTTTAGCTCAGTAATCAGACTTCTCAGTGCATGTAAACTCTTACTCTGATTTCTGCCGGATTTTTTAGTCTGCGCATGCGTGAGAAGCACTTTTGGAGTGGCGCTGAAGCCAAACACAAAATGACAGATTTAAATATTCTTCATCTTCTAGATGATGTATGTTCATATTTTCAGGTAAAGTGGTGCTATGTTAAAAAAAAACAAAAAAAACAGCGGCATGCAGTTTGAGTTTTACTTTGTTTACATCATGTCTTATTCTGTGAGTTTATTGGCCGGTTGCAAAGCAGAAATCCGATTACTGCCTAAGTCATGAAGATCTGGAGTTTCTCTGTCATCTGATTACTCAATTGTATGTAAACACGTTGGTCGGATTACTGACAACATCTGATTTTTCTGCAGTTATCGGATTATTAAGTCCATGTAAACGCACTAATTGATAACTTTTGCTACACTACAGTTTTGTCGTTACAATTTCCATATACATAACTGCACTTAGAAGTGTCGCATTTTGCTTAAAGGCAAATTCCTCAACTTTTTCAGGATTTCTGCCCAAATTTAGTCATTAAAATGTTAGTCATTCAGAGTGGTTTGGTGTGAAATTATTGATTGTAGAGACTCAGATTTCTTTACAGTGGTGGTGATGGGAACCAGGGGTCACCATGTCTACAACACAAATATAGCCATTTTATCTACTATCCAAAACCACCAGTGAACCTACACACGTCATCTGAGCTTTATGTGTGTAATGCTGATGACGGTAAAGTAGTTAACAAACAAAAAATATGTTTTCTTTGGGGACTATTTTGCCTCAGAATGCCCTGCATGTACCTTACCATCATGAATAGATATTAAAATTTACATTTTAAGCCAAAAATCTTCAGTGCTTCAGATGTCTGGTTTCTATCACCACTGCTGTAGACAGTTCTGCCTTGGCAAATTTCTCAACTGTGCACCATTTGTTTAGATCTTAATTTTGGCAGAATTTTGGGGAAAAAACAGTGGAATTTCCTACATTTTCTATGCATATGCAGTAAAAACTTACTTAAAAGATAATAAAGGAACAATTTAATTTTTATTACAGCCTACATACTTGCCTTATATGATCTACCTGATCAATTAAACGAATACTAAGACAAGTTTGTATTGAGATGCATATGAGAACAACCAGGCTTACCCCTTATTCATGCAGTATGTAATAAACCAGGCTGAATCTGAAACCTGTCCAAATCTTTTCAGATTAAAACTCGAGGCGCTTGGCGACAAAGACCCGGGTGGGCTGGATTTTGACAGCGAAAATGAAGAAGGTACCCAAACTGCTGAGGCTGGAACCAGCTCTTTGCCTGGGGATACCACAGCCGACCACGTCCTCCAAAGCAGCCAGGACCCAGGAGGAGATCTCCCTGCTAGCCAGCCACAGCCCACCGCCACTGAAGCCTTACTGGACGATGAGGACCTTCTTATCGAGGAGTATGACAGTGACTGACCAATCACCTAATGCAATTTCCCAGACTCACTCCACCGTCGCTGCCTTGAGAAGACATGGTTCGGCTGTCTTCCGTGTTTCTGAATCACTGGGTTTCAGTCATGTCGTTTTTATAATGTGAATTATTAGGAAGTTTCTACTATTTATTTGTTTCAACACAAATGAAAGACTGTCGTTGTGTCATGTTTGTCCTGCACCGGTTGGTGTTAGTGTCCCTCCTGAGCTTTGTTCTAAAGACTTAAGTTAATGTTATGTAGTTTCCATAAAAAAGGCAAAGTGCTTGCATACAGCTTTTCAGTGTCCACTGTAGTATAATTCTGACCTACTGCTTTTTTGTTTTTTGTTTGTTTTTTTTTGCCCACCCTTTTAGCAGGAGAGGTCACTACAATAAACAGTTGAGTTTTGCAGTTTTCGTGTCTTTCATTTTTGGGTATGTGCATTATTGAATTGATAATGCTTTTCACTGAATTGACGTCCACTGAATTCCAACTGAAACAGTCATTTAGAGTGATTTGATGTAAAGTGCCAAGTTCTAGAGAATTGTTCAGTGGCGGTGTTAGAAACCAGACGTCTGAAGAATTTAACACCTCTAAAAGCTACATCATATAAAGTTATTACATGAACGATGTACACTGCATGGACAAAAGTATTGGGACACACCTCTCAGTCATTGAGTTCATGTGTTTCATCCAGTCCCATTGCTACAGGTGTATAAAATCAAGCACCTAGCCATGCAGTCTGCCTTTACAAACATTTGCGGAAGAATGGGTCGTTCTAAAGAGCTCCCTGAATTCGAGCGTGATACTATAATAGGACACCACTGTTGAAACAAGTCAGTTCGTGAAATTTCTTCCCTCCTAGATATTCTATGATCAACTGTGAGTGGTATTATTGAAAAGTGGAAGTGTTTAGGAACCTCAGCCACGAAGTGTCAGACCATGTAGAGTTACAGAGAGGGTTGCCGAGTGCTGAGGACCATAGTGCATAAAAGTCGCCAACGCTCTGCTGATCAATAACTACAGAGTTCCAAACCTCCTCTGGCATTAACATTAGCACAAAAACTGTGCGCCGAGGGCTTCATGGCATGGGTTTCCGTGGCCGAGCAGCTGCATGCAAGTCTTACATCACCAAGTATAATGCCAAGCGTCGGCTGGAGTGGTGTAAAGCAGCCGCCGCTGGACTCTGGAGCAGTGGAAACGTATTCTGAGAAGTGACGAATCACACTTCTCTATCTGTAAGTCTGGTAGGCGAGTCTAGGTTTGGCGAATGCCAGGAGAACCGTTACCTGCCTGACTGCATTTTGCCGACTGTAAAGTTTGGTGGAGGAGGGATGATGCTATGGGGTTGTTTTTCAGGACTTGGCCTAGACCTCTTAGTTCCAGTGAAGGGAAATCTTAATGCCTCAGCAGACCAAGACATTTTGGACAATTCTGTGTTTCCAACTTTGTGGGAACAGTTTGGGGAAGAACCTTTTCTGTTCCAGCATGACTGAGCCCCAGTGCACAGAGCAAGGTCCATAAAGTCATGGCTGGGTGAGTTTGGTGGGGAAGAACTTGACTTACCCACACAGAGCCCTGACCTCAACCCCATCAAACACCTTTGGGATGAACTAGAATGAAGATTGTAAGCCAGACCCTCTTGTCCAACATCAGTATATGACCTCACAAATGCTCTTCTGGGTAAATGGGCAAAGATTCCCACACACACTCTCCAACATCTTGTAGAAAGCTTCCCAGAAGAATGGAAGCTGTTATATCTACTACTCCATATTAATGCGTATGGATTTAGAATGGGATGTCATAAAAGCCCCAGTAGGTGTCCCAGTACTTTTGTCCATATAGTGTATGTGTGTGTAAAAAGGACCAAAAATGAGAAGATCAGAGTTCCTTCAGCTGGATGAACTGTGGTTCTTTAGGGAACTCAGCACTTGAGTTTTTGGATCTGAAACTTTCAGCTTCTTCTACTTGAGTCATCATTTCCTTACAGTACACACTTCAGGCTCTTCTGTCTACATCTGGTCATTTGTGGCTGCACTACCTGTTCAACACACCTGCAGCAGATCCAGCCTACAGGCTGGAAGTGACACACCCGTTTAGCCAAGGCTGAGGGGGTTGTGTCCAGCTTGTTTTGATGTGTCCAGCTGGTAGCCACCTGTACTTCGTAAAAAAAAGCAGTTTTATTAGGTCTGCATTGTATGCTGTGGCCATATAGGAGCACTTTCAGCAGGTGAGTTTTGGTTACTCTTTCCTGTTGTTGCTTTTTTCTTCGTTTCTTTATTTAAAGTGAGAGAAATTCGCTGCAGAAAAGCTTCTTCTTGGATTTTCCAGTTCCACCTTATATAGCTGCTCCGCATGTGCTTCTCTCGCGCCTGCACTGAATGTAACTGCTGCGCTATTTAAGGTGGAACGGGGAATTCCAAGCGGGATCTTGCGCGATTTGCTTTGTCTCTATAAGTTTAAAGTCTGAGGAGATTCTGTAAAAGAGGACACAAAATATCATTTCAAGTTTGCCGAATTTGCTACAGCTCAAAATTTAAGAGACAAAACAAGATGCGTATCTACAGACGAGCCTGCAGTTAGCTTCTTCGTCGAATTGTCCATTCCACCTTAAACAGCTACTCCGCAGGTACTTCTCCGGCGCCTGCACTGAATGGAACTGCTGCGCATTTAAGGTGGAACGGCGAATTCGAAGAAGAAGCTAATCTGCACGATTTGCTTTGCCTCTTAACTTCTGTTCTGAGGAAATTTCGACAGATTTAATATAATATTTAGTGTCTTCTTCTACAAAATTACCTCAGATGTTAAACTTCTAGAAACTTCCAGTTACTCCGCCGGTTTGTGAGCCGTGTTAGCGGATTAGCAGCGCCATGCAGGCGGGCAGAGAAGAGCCCTCAGAAGACGACATGAGGGAGGGCGATTTGGGGGACGGCATGGCTGCCCGCTCCTCCTCACGGCTGAGGAGCAAAGGGGACTTTCCGGAACTGCTGACCCACACCAGGCTCTCGAAGAGGGTCAGCGAGGGGAACGAGCCTTTCTCCTGGACCACCTGCAGCGCCATGTACGCCGCTTTGAGAGAGCAGTTCAGAGACTCAGGTACATCAGCCCTGTTAAAGGGGTTAAAGGGGAACTCCACCTGCTCTCCAAAAGTTCTGCAGAATTCAAGGATTGAGGTGTAAACAAAGTAAAAGTGGTTCAGTGTGAAATTGTTCGTAGTAGAGAGACTTATCCTCTCTTCCCTCATGTCTTTACAGTGGTGGTGATGGGAACCAGGGGTCACACCGTTTACAACACAAATATAGCCATTTTATTCCCTGTCCGGTGTTACTTGTAACATTAATGACGGTAAATCCCAAACTTCATGCTGGTGTAAGCTGGTCTGTGCTGGTCTGATGTTGGTTTAGCCGGTCACCCAGCATGGTCATGCTGGTTGACCAGAATACCAGCATCCAATGCACAACATATACTTGTTTTTGCAGGTGACCAGCCATGCTGGCCTATGCTGGTTTATCTAGCAGGGCCTGCAAATACTTCTCTGCACTGATTGGATTTTATACATTTTAGGCCCAAACTTGATCTCAGTCACCATGTTTATAACCTTCCCTGCTGAAATAAACAGCACAAACCAGCATGCATTCCATGTTGCTCTATGTTGAAGCTGCCTTGTTGCTCGTTTAGGACATGCTGGTTGACCAGAATACCAGCATCCAATACACAACATTTGCTGGTTTTCTAGCAGGAATTTCATGTAATAACTTTCTATGATGGAGCTTTTAGAGACATTGAACTCTTAAGATGTTTGGTTCCTATCACCAGCACTGTGAACAACTGTGACTCAGTTTCACATAAAACCACTCTGAATGACTTTGTTTACATCTTAACCATTTAATTATGCAGAATTTTGGAAAAATATGTGGAATTTCCCCTTAACAAAGTTAGCTTCAGTTGGATTTCATGTCTTTCTGTACAGGTGTAGACTGAATGTGTAAAAAGATGGGGGGCAGTTTAAATGATCCCCCCCAAAAGAATTTTCTTTCAAACCTTTTGAAGTGGTTTTGATGAAATGGTGGTCTTTTAAAGTAAGACAGTGTAAGAGGCTTCCCCATGGTGGGAAATGAAGCACAGCTAACTGAAGATAGCAGGGCCAGTATACCACCTATCAAACTACTGATGATCATGTACTACAGATTGGTTGAATATGTTATGTATGACCTGAAACTGGACACAGTTCTATGGCCTGTGGGAGCCCATGGGAGAATGCCGGTTGTGTTATGCTTGGCTTTCTTTCTTTAAAATTGCTGAACTGTCTCAAAACTGGAAAACAAAGCTTTTTGAGGTAAACTGTCTTAAAGGGCCATACTGGGTTTAGCTAAAATGGAAGCGAGGCTGCTCAGGCTGGTCCAGGTGTATAATGTGAAATGCTTCATGGCTCAAATGAAAAATGAGAACGTGCTCACTTCCTGTTCGTGTCCTGTTCTGAGCTCAGCCGTGTGCTTGCTCTGTTGACTTTGGTGTGTTTGTTAAAGCTGCATGAAGCTGCACCTGCTGCGGCGCGTATCTGCTCAGCGCACAAATAAGAGCATTTAAACACACAGAAAAACCCTGAGCTTTGCAGAGGCCTTAGTTATTTGACCATGCCCCCAAAAAGCCATCCTGTCCATCTTATTCCTACATCCCATAATGCTTTAATTGGGTCCGCGCCTATATGTGGACGTCATTTTGATATGTGCCACTTGAACATGTGCACATTTACTTACACATCCTAGAAGCACTGCAGGTCTGTTGTGGAGCACATCTCTAGATGTAGATCTTGATAGCAGTAGGTTAAAGAAGAATAAATGTTGGCACAAGCAGCCATTTAAACAGCTGCGTTAGCATCAACCGTCTAATCTTTTGTTTTATTTCCTTGTCCATTGATCCAGTGAAGTCAACGGTTTGAAATTATGTCATTTAAATGTGATGCATTATTAACTTTTTGATTGGCTGTTTCATGAAACTTGTTTTACGAAGATGAGATGCTTGCAGCTGTTGCGAATGAGTTTCACTTGAGTTGCAGGATGCTTTACATTATGCAACTCCAGTTGCAGTTTAGTTTCAAGCAAGTTTCATGTAAGTTTCATGCAATTTAGTTTCATGTATGCTTCATGTAAGTTGCATAAAAGTTGTCACCATGTAAAGCCAGTTTTCTTTACACCCATCGATGATATATGTATAATGCCCTCTCTGTCGTAGACTGCAGTGTTGGGGACTCCAGTGAGGTGCTGCAGAGGAGACTGCAGGAGGTCACAGAGGTAGGACAGAATTAACAAGACTTCACTAAGGAAAACGTATTTTCCCCTTTTTCTCACTTTGCTTCCTTTCCCTTAAGCATGAAAGGGATCAGATCTGATTTTTAGATCTGAAATTTCTCAGCAGCGATTCTGTTTTTTAAGCCATGTTGAAATTTCTGACCCTGTGAGAAGTGCATTTTAATAAGGACAGATGACAATTGCAAGTATTAAAGGGCTCGTATTTTACATCATTTTTGTAATTTTTTAAATCCGAAAAAATTTTTTTTTAAGGGACTCTTTTGCCTTACAATGCTCTGTTTGTACCATTCATGTTTCCACCATGAGTGTACTAAAAAAATGTTTTAATTTCAAAATTATCCTAAAACAGTGTCAGCGTACTCTTTAAAAACTTTCTGTGAGTGAGTTTTGAGAGGCATTTCACATCAGACCACTCTGAATGACTTTGTTTACATCTTAACGGTTTAGTTACGTAGATTTTTTAAATGATGAAATCCCCCTTTTAAACAGGTGCCTTTAAGATTGATATGTGTTATGTCATTTATTCTGATTGGCTGCCCCGTTCTGTGCATCATTCAAAAAGTGATCCAAGCTGAAATGTACAGAACAAAGTGTCCAGTTCAGACTGAAATCCTCAGAAGGCTGAAGTCATCTATTTGCTTCCTGACAGCCATGAACAGCACAACGTTTAATCATTTTCCCATCAACTTCCACTCCAGTCACTCTGCTACAGGCTGTCTGCAGGAACAACACTCTTTATTACTTCAGTAGGAGTGGGCGGGGCTAAACTACTGACTGTAAATGTGTTTGTGGTTACGACAGGAATTCAAAACACCCATTTTTTTTACTTTTGTCGTGAGTGAGAGCCTAAAGAGAGAGGTATGTAAGGCCATATACTGTATGGTCATATACTGAGGTATGTAAGGCCATATACTGTATGATCATATACTGAGAGGTATGTAAGGTCATATACTGTATGGTCATATACTGAGAGATGTGTAAGGCCATATACTGTATGATCATATACTGAGAGGCATGTAAGGTCATATGCTGTGTTATTCTGCCTTGTAGGAAGTTGAGCTGTTGCGGACAGAGTTAGAAGTGACCCATCGGCACCTGGAGGGCAAACATGAAGCTCTGAGGATCCTGCAAGGCCAAGTAAAACACAACTCTCATTCAGTGCAACTGATGCTAGTGATTTTCTCAAAGAATATATAAATTTTCGTAGGGAAAGATCATCAGATAGAGATACCTTATTGATGCCTATGGAAAAGTGGATGGTTTATTGACTGATATAAAACTGATAGTTCCGGTTCTAAAATCTGATTAGCCAGTTTCGTAGATATTGTAAAATGCTTGTTATGGTCACTAGAGTCTGACCAATACAGTGAGGGGAAATAAGCATTCAGACACTTTTTTGTTATTTGATAAACTTAGAGTGCAGGAAGGCTGTTGGTTCGAGGAACTTCATCCTTACCTATCCTCCATCCTTCGTTTCCTTGTTTACTCTCTCACCTGCTAATTAGTGGTCAGCAGACGCACTACCGTCCACGTAATTGTATACAGATATCGAAAACGCATTATGTTTACACTTCAGGATCCATCTCTGACCACCTCTGAATATGCTTTGATGTTGGTTACAAAAAACAGAACTCTTTGGCAACAGTTCAGCTCATTATGTTTGGAGAAAAAAGGGTCGCATATGATCCCAAGAACATCTATAGTGAAGTATGGTGGTGGGAGCATCATGATATGGGCCTGCTTTTCTGTAACTGGTACTGGGGCATTACTGATCATAGAAGGAAACATGAATGAAGCGACCTACTGGGAGTTATTAGTGGAGAATTAGTGGAACTGAATCTGGGGAGAGTATGGATGTTTGAACAAGACAATGACCCCAAACATGCAGCCAAAATAACTCAGGGTTGCCTTCTAAAGAAGGTGAAGGTGCTTGCATGGCCTAGCCAACCTCCTGAATTGAGTCCCATTGAAAATTTATGGAGGATTTTTAAATTGCGTCCATCGGTGGGACCCTCGTAAGCTTGTGTTTAACTGAAGAACCCCAAAGAATTTTGAGTACCTCCGCCCCCAGAGCTGTAATGTTTATATTACTTAACCCCTTAAATGGAAAGTGTTATTACACACTTCTATAACCTAAGAATAGGTCAGCCAGTTTGCTTTGAAGTCCCTGTAGTTACTGAATAATAAGCCTTAGTTATGTAATAAGCCTGATATTTTAATTAGCCTGGGAGAGTTTCTGCTGTTTGATTGAGTTAAAGAAGAGAGATTTACAAATATAAATACAATTGAGTTTGAAATTTAAAGTCTAAAATAGAAATGTAAAATTATCAGTTATTGGAATTTTTAGCATATTTAAAACCTTAATCGACTGCAAAATGTTTGTATCAGTCAAACCCTAATACATGCATATGACTGCACACATCAATTCTGTATTAATGTGGCAAATATGGAATAAACTTTGACTGCTATGTTGCTTGGCACAGCCTACTGTTAGCAAACGCTGCTTGGTGGAAGAATTGTTCTTTGCAAATATCATTATTAATAATAAATTGATTTATTTATTGAATGTTGGATGTTGAATTTTATAATTTTGCATTTTGTTGCTCTTTTGTAACAATACTTGTAAGTTTGTGTCCCTTATATGATTCAGATTTGTTTTACTGAGAAGATACAGTCGTGTATATAATAACATGTTGTGGTTGATTTTCTAACACACTTCTTCACATTTTAATACAAAATTACTCTCTCTTTGCTGAAATTAAACTTATTGGATCAAAATTAAAACACAAGATGCATCCTGTGCAAATATCATGGCACATTTTATACTTTATGTTTTCTTTTTATTTGTATAATGTTTTATTTTTTCCAAGATGAATAAACAGAAATGCTGCACTATAAATTATTAGGAAAATGGCATATTTAGGTTCCTTGTAGAGGATGAATTAACTTATTTAAACTTAGAAAATGAACAACACATGTAAGAAGTACACTTTTGCATACAACTGTAGGTATACTAACTTTTTGGTCTCATTCTGAAGGCTATATTGGACAAAGCAACCAGCCACACCAAGAGTTTGCTTCAGAAGAGCGAGGAACGAGCCAAAGCTTTGGAAAAGGTGATTCCCGCCTGGATTGTCTTCAGGAACCATTGCAGTAGGGGTGGGCAGTATGGCGAAATTTTATCATTATTGTGAAAAATTATGTCTCAATACGGTTTTCTGAGTATATCACGGACATCATCAGCACTTAACGAACACTGACTAAATACATGATTCATCACAAAATATAATTAGGCCTGTTTAACTGGATTTAGTTCAGTACAGTTTGTAAAACACTGAATAAAAATCACTGTAATAGTAGGTTTATGATTGTTATTATATGTGGCACTACAGGTTCTGTTTTGTCTATTCCAACTTATTAAATCTCAGAAAAACGAAATATCACGGTGCGTATCGTGCATCATAAAAATGCCTTGAAGTATCGTGATATAATATTTTTGCCATATCGCCCACCCCTACATCTCAGCTTCCACCTTTTGTATGTTTTTAAATGCAATGAAATGCATTGTGAACTACTTTATGCAAATGGATCCCAATAAGGCATAACTCTGTCAATGCAAGCTAAAGGTTGACAACCATTTGAATGAGGTGTGATGAACTGTCTGATTTATTCACACAGGAGGTGAACGCTCTGCAGTGGGAGATCACCTTCAACCAGGTGCAGTTTAAGAACGTAGAACATGCATGGGAGCTTAAATATGAAAGGTAACATATTATACTTTTGTGACTGAATGCTAAAATCTCTAAACAGCACTAGATTTGGTTACTTGCAGAGTTACAGTGCTGTAGAAAAGTCAGAGACCAGTCTGTTTGTTTGTTTCAGTCCAAATAGCCATGAAATACAAATTATTAATTTTTCAGTGTCCAAAAAAAACAGGAAACATATCGTCGCTGTCCAAAGAAAACCATGTGTCTCCATTTTTTGTTGATTTTTAGTTTTCTACATTATTTCACACTAGCTGTCCTTTACATTGTGTGAGAATTTCATGATGCACGGACAAATAGAACTGCTTTAAAATCACTTGGAATAAAATCTCTTTACATTAACTTGATAATTGAAAGGTAAGAGTGTTTTTGCCCTCTCCTGTAAAGTTACTATTTTGGAGATACTTGTTTTTCTTTGGGCAGTGACGATATATTTACATTCAGAATGTTACATGGTAAGTATAATATCAAATCTATCAATATCTGTAAGTTAAAAAAAATAAAATGTAGAGAAAATGGGATTCCTAACAACCACCAGGAAGACCTGGTGGACCATCAAAACTGGCCTCATCAAATAAACAGCACATAAAGGCGCACTCTTGCTTCACATCTGAAAACATCCACAGGTGTTTCTGTCTATCCTTCCACTGTGAGAAGACACCTCAGCGCTATGGGTCTGAAAGGATGTGTAGCTGTCAAGAAGCTCTTACTGAAAAAAGGAAATTTGCACTAGAACACAGAAACTGGACATCAGAGATGATTAGTGAAGTTTAATTGACTGATGAGTCTAAATTTGTAATTGGGATTCTTTAGATGGTGAAAAGCTGGAAGTCTAACCAACAAGACTGAACTTTGGACGTGGGGCAAAATATCCCTGCAGATTTCCTTAACAAACTGAAAACAAATCTCCTGAAAAGAATGGATGCTTTAATAAATACAAATATGTTGAAAAAAATGCACTAAATACTATATAATTTGATATCATATTTAGTTGTTTTTTTTTGTCTGAAGCTACCATACTTAATGGCTGTTTTAACTGGAAAATAATAAAAAGTGTGGTCTCTGACTTTTGAGCAGTATGGTCTTGCAGATTTACACAAAAGTTTTCATTTTTTCATCGGTTGCATAAATGCTCAACTGTGAAATTGGCAGCCCTGGTTATTAAGGGAAGGACAGTAGATTATGGTTAAATTGAAAAATGACATCACAAAAAGCTTTTCTGAGTATATGGTGGGTGTGGTCAGCACTTCTAGAACACTGACCAACTGCATGGATCATAAAAAAAGACAGATTTAGAACAATTACAGAATCCAGCACCTAATTGTTATTTTTCATTATTAAGTGAATGGCTGTGCCATTATTTTACAATAGTAAATGATTAAATCATTTTGAAATACTGTCATTTTTTGAGATACTATCTCATTAATCTGGCATGCCAAGTCATTATTTTAAGATAGTAAGTCAGTATTATTTTGATAAGAGTATATTTTGAGATGCTAAGTCATTATTTTGAGGTACTATCCCTTTAATTTGAGATGGTAAGTCCTTATTTTGAAATTCTATCTCTTCATTTGAGATGCTTAGTCATTATTTTGAGATACCATCTCTTTAAATTGGTAGGGTTTCTCATTATTTTGAAATGCTTTTGCATAATTTTGAAATGCTTTTGCGTTATTTTGAGATACCATGTCATTATTTTGAGTTACTATAATTTTTTGATATTGTCTCCACTTTGAGATGCTAAGTCATTATTTGAGATACTGTCATTATTTTGAGATACTGTCTCTTTAATTTGAGATGCTTTCTCATTATTTTGAGATAGTATCTCAAAATAATGAGACTATCTCTTTAATTTAAGATGCTTAGTCATTATTTTGAGATACTATCTGTATAATATGAAATGCCAAATCATTATTTTGAGATAGTATCTCTAATTTGAAATGTTAAGTCATTATTTTAAGATAGTCCCATTATTCTAAGATGCTAAGTCATTATTTTGAGATACTGTCTCTAATTTGAGATGCTTTCTCATTATTTTGAGATGGTATCTCATTATTTTAATGTACTATCTCTAATTTGAGGTGTTTAGTCATTACTTAAATTTGAGATGATTTCTCGTTATTTTGAGAAACTTTCTTGTTATTTTAAGATGGTTTGTGCTTTTCAGATAAAAATATAAGGATAGTATTATAAAATAATGACTTCATATCACAAAATAATGGCACAGCAATTCATTTAATAATGAAACAAATAATAATTAGCTGCTTGATTTTTTATTTTAAGTGGCAGAAATGGGCTTCCATAGAAATATCTACAAGTATTGTGAGGTTATATTTCTGCAGCACTGGCCGTTATCTGTGTGAAACAGGGTGCGTGCGGAGAACGAGGCCTTGAGGAAAGCTGTGGATGAGAAGCTGGAGCAGCTGCAGGACCTCCGCACAGAGAACACCTGTGAGTCTAATTGATGTCTGTGCTCAAACAATGCAGGCTGGTTTTCTGGACACAGTTTAAAGGAATATATTACCCATGAAAGCTAATGGTGCTATTAGCGAATGAAAGCTAGTCGTCTCCTGTTGGCATTATGCTAATGATATCATGCAGCTATCAGTAATTGCCAGCTACTGTTTGATAGCGTTTTTGGGTCTCGTTCCTGTGTAAGTAACACTGCAGGTAAAGAATCTGTGGCGCAATCCCATTTCTTGTTTTTACCCCTACCCCTTGTTTTCGAGTGTCACCTTGCTCCTTGGAACTGAGTTACAAGGTAGTGGTTGAAATCTTCCATATGAAATGGGATCCTCAAATAAAGAAGGACATTACTTTATTAACCGGCTACCAGCGCTGCTCTGTAGGCGACCCTGCCAGTCTGCAGTGATAGCAGAGGAGGGTAAAGTTCAGCAACCTCACTGCTGGGCTTTAGTTACATTTAGGGAGTCATATCCCTTGGGGGGGGGGCAATTATTTATTATCACCCACCCCTAATTCTTCAGTGATATGAAGGTGAAGTCATATATTCACCAGCTTCTTGTTCGAATTTTCCCATTCCACCTTAAATGGAGCAGCAGTTACATTCTGGCGCTTCAGGCATCAGAACCGCTGGACTATTTAAGGTGGAACGGGAAATTTAGCTAGCTACTGAGACATCAGCGTACTACTAGCGATTTTTTATGCTTGTCATTGAGAAAAGGACCATAATACTAAAAATGACATTAAACTAAGATAATACAGTAGTTAGCGTAATTTTTAATGGAGAAAATACTCACATTTGTGGGTTTCTTTGGTCATTTGTGCAGCCATCTTGCCGTTTTTTTCTTATAACACTCTGTTTGGAGTGAGTCTCTGAAAACCCTCAGTTTGGAGGGCCATGTAGCTCTAACACTTCGCCCTACCCCTTTATCTCATCAACAATCGGTACACCCTACCCCTAGACCTGAACGCACAAAACGGAGGGCTAAGGGCTAAGTGGTAGGGGTGAGGGGTGACATGGGACTGGGCCTGTGAGTTGCCAGTTTATCAGTTCTGTTAAAATAATGCTGTTTCATTTTTTGGTCGCTGTTTATTCACAAACCTGCAACGTTCCTTCAGTGTGTGTATGCAAAGTTAAATGGGAATTCCCCTAACTTTAACATTTTTTGCATAATTTAGTGGTTGAGATGTAAACAAAGTTATTTAGAGTGGTTTGGTGTGAAATACTCCGTTGTAGAGAAACTTACCATGTCAGAATTGGAACCAGACGTCCACCTCTAAAAGCTCCCTCACAAAAAGTTATTACATGTAGTGGTTATGAATACACTGCTTGAAGTCTGAGACACTGTTTGTAACATAGTTTTAGAAGGTTTTGGCCTAAAATGTCTGAAATGATTATAGAGGGAATAATAATTTAAAAGCTGCATTTTGTGTTTATCTTATATTAAAAATTTGTCTTTATCTTATATTAAAATAGTTGCATGATCTGAAATATTAAATAAAATCTGACAAATTAGCAAAAATAGAAGAATTCAGGGAAGGTATCATTTTGGAGATATGAGGTTTTGATCCAATATATATATATATATATATATATATATATATATATATATATATATATATATATATATTTAATTAAATTATTATAAGCAGCAAATACATACAAATTGTGCACTAAAATTTGCAGATAAATGCTGTATTTATGTGTGTTCTCTGTAGAGGCTGTGATAACAGGACGTCACTGGACCAAGAGTGTTCAAACCTTTGCATATTTTTTATATACATATATGTGTGTGTGTGTGTGTGTGTGTGTGTGTGTGTGTGTGTTCATACACCCAACAGCACTGAGTCAGCAGTGTCTGGAGCTGCTGGGGTTACTGAGTGCTCAGGAGAGAAGAGACTTCCAGAAGACGCAGCCCCCGAGCAAACAGGGGAGAGAGGGGTCTGCGCTGGAGGTACCACTGATGGGTAGATAATGTGGATGGAAACCCAGATGAGGGGATGAATATTTAGACTGTGTATTTTTTTTTGACCTCAGTGATTAGAATCGATGCTGATTCTTTAGGAAACAGTATAGTGCATCAATCTCTGATTTCACTGTGATTCAGAGGAACTGGGCAGAATGACAGTATTTATATTTATTGTGATAAATGACGTTGCAATACGTCACAATACACTTTTTCTGAGTGTATCATAAACATCGTCAGTTCTTGAAAAATTGATTACCTGTGCGTTTGGTAATAAAGAGATGTTTCATGGTGGTTATATGTGAAATGTTGACTACAAATCAATGGATTTGTTGAATTTGATCATTTTTTAAATGTTGCATCACTTGTTTGTCAGACAAAAAATATTGACATTATCGTGTATTGTGAAAACTTTTTTTTTCAATATTATTATTATAGAAATATTGCATTTTGCTGTATCGCTCTAGGAAGTAACTACATTGTACTGCATTTGAAGATTGACAGATTGATGTATATGCAGACAGACAGACAGTTGCATTCTCTGTGTTCTAGCTTGCCGTGTACGGAGCGTGCCAGTGTAGCTCCAGTGTGGGGGAGCCGTGTTCCTGTGCTAAGAGCGCGGCTGCAAGCCGCAAGCAGGTTCTCCAGCTCAAACAAGAGGTAACAACAACAGCAGAGAAAATACTGCCCCCGAAGTACAGCACTGTTCAGAAGTCAGAGACCTTCAGTTACTACATTTCCTGTCTTTTTACATGTTTTTCTTAGACTTTCTTATTTCTTATGCAAGTGTATGATGTTATATCTAATCTTCTCAGAAATATCTCCTGAAAAATGAATAACTTGTACCTTTGACTGGAAATTTAAATAAATGTAGGGTGGTAAAGGGTATTTTTTTCAAAATCCGAAAGACATTTTGGCTAATGTTAACATGCTTTAAAGTCTTTTCTAGGATGGTTAGAAATAATAAAGTTGGTCCCCAAATTGTTTTAAATTATTTTTTGAAACACTCGGCAAGGCGTCACAATGTGTCGTCTTCAGTTCTGCTGGAAAAAGCATCTCAGGTGGCTCCACATGAAGCTGCTTAAAAAATATTATTATTATTATTATTATTATTATTATTATTATTTCTTTAACACTTTTTAGTCACTGTATAATTTCATATGTGTTATTTCATAGTTTTATTGTCTTCAGAATTGTTCTATAATGGGAAAGTAGTAACAACAACAACAACAAAACAACAACAATAATAATAGTATTAATAATAATAATGATAAGTAATTAAATACATTAATAAAAAGTAAAACCCTTGCATCAGTAGGTATGTCCAAACTTCCGACCGGTTCTGTATGTGTGCTCTATTGTCTGTTTGCTGCAGTTGGAGCTGCAGAGGAGGAGGAAGGAGGAGGCGTATGTGATGATGGACGCGTTCCGCATCGCCTTTGAGCAGCAGCTGAGGAGAGGGAGCGAAAAGGTGCTGCAGCTGACTGAAAACGACAGGCTCACACCTCGTCATTCGAAACCAGAGAAAGGTGCAGTCATTAATGCTGTCACTGTAGTATCAAAAGCGTTTAACTACATTTTTACAGTTATTTTACTGTTTGTCAGCACCAGCTGCCCTTTACACTGTACGAACGTTTGATGATGAATGGACCAGTAGGTTAGGTTCAAATCAACATTTGAAACGGACTGAAGTGAAAGGCTCATGTATCTTTGAAAGAGGAGAGACCGAAAAATTCAAAACTGAAGGCCAAATTGCTGTTTCAGAAATCACTGGTAAAACCTGACAAAAAATTGTTTGTACAGTTTGGCTACACACAAAAATTGTGTTTTTTCAGGTTGTTCTGCGGCTGTGCTTGTGCAGATCTTCACAACTGAGGGGGATTTTCCCGCTAATGGCTTTACCAGCAGGCCAATTAGCTCTTTTAGCACACAGACGCCATGTTGAGCGCTACAAGTTTTCACATTCATTTTCCAACTAGTGACTGTCTCAGGCTAAGAGCTACGCTCACCACAGAATGTGTTTGATTTCAGCTTTCACTCTAACACCAGTCACTCAACTTTACACTCTCAGAAATCCTCTAAACGGGAGTCAGTTTACTGAAACCAAGCTGGTGCTGTGGTGCTAACTAAGCTAGCCAAAATGCAACCATCCCAAATACCACAGAACATATTTGATTTCAGCTTTCTGTCACTGTAACAACACTCACTCGACTCTGCACTCTCAGAAATCATCTCAACGGGTGTGATTTTAGCGTTGGTTAGCTGAAACCGAGCCTGCGCTGTGATGTTTGGGATGTTTAGCCTGCTAACTAAGCTCTCATTAGCTTAGCCAAGATGCTACAGTCCCAAACATCACAGAAAAGATTAAATCTCAGCTTTCTGTCTCCACAACACCACTCACTCCACTTTTACTCTCTCAGACTTTAGTTTTTATCATCTAGACTTGTTTCAGCAGAGCAGCAGTTAGTTAGAGTCATGCCTGTGCTGTGGTGTGTGGCACTGTTTTGGGGTCTGTAGCTGCTTACTAAGCTAACATTTTGAACGGTACTGTATGATATGCTGTTTTGTTACACTTCTAATACTGAACAACTTTAGTAGTAAGCTAAAAGTATGTCTCTAGAATCTTAAAGATTTCCCCAGATGTTTGACCATTCCTGCAGTGGACTATAAAATTTCATACTCTGCTTTGTTTTGCAGGAAAGCATAGCTCGGCCAGCGTGGCTCAGAGGATGAGGAGATTTCTGCCGTCTGCCAGGGAGGGAAAAGTGCCGAGTGACCCCACAGAAAACCTCCACTTACTGCTCGATCTGGTGCGTGTGGGCCACTTTAATTTGATATGGTATCCTAAACGCAGAGTAGCACGGAAATAATTCAAATGTAGAACAAGTGTAACTTTGATCACTTTAAAGATCTGCTGTTCAATCTTTGTACAATTCAGAATTATGAAATTAGGAATACACAGAATATACATTTATGACTGAAAAAGCTATTACTACAGCACTGGAACATCGACAACAGAAACAATACATTTTCTCGAAAATAGGCCAAAATTGTATGAATGCATACCTTTGAAAATAGGAAAAAGGATACATAATATTGAATTTCGATATATATTTCATTGTGGTCAGTGATAAGAAGTGGTGACTGTTAGAGCTTGGCCTTCATCTGGTGCCATAAATGTCAAAAATAAACCCAAAAGCAAGAAAAAACCCACCTCTACGATAATGCTAATTTCTTCTAGCTTCCTTATGGGAATTCTGATAGTATGTTAGCGCTAAGCTAATGCGCATGAACATTTTTGGCTATTCTAGATTAAACACAGACAATTGAAGCTCAAAAACAGCACTCCAATTTTTGTATTTGAAGCTTTTAACAGACATTAACATATATTTTACCTTGCATGTAGCAGTTTTAGTGGTTCTTTCAGTGGAGTCCTGACATGAGCTGCGGCTGTTAGGGAAAAAACACCTCTGCGACAATGCTAATTTCGTCTAGCCTCCTTATGGGATTTCTAATTGTATGTTAGCGCTAAGCTAATGCGCATTGACATTTTTGTCTGTTTCGGCTTCTAGTGCCTTGCATGGTGCAGTTTTAATGATTCTTTCAGACATAGAGCTATTACTGTTTTCCATTCCTAACAACTAACTGACACCTGGTTAGTTCAGCCTCTCAAGTCCTAACCAATGAAAGAGCTCATTTAGCTGTATCCATCTAGCTATCACAGAGAAAAAAATCCCAATTGGACCGTTTTCTAAAGATTTTAACCCATTTATTTCCAATCAAATCTTAACAATGAAAGGAAAGTATTACTACAGTTCTTGCAGTGTTTAAATACAACAAGCATGATGATTCTATTAATGTACATTACAGATTTTTTGACTGAATGCAAAAGTAAATGGACATTAACCAGCTGTGCCTCTGTTTCAGCTGAGTGACAAGGAGGAGGCCTTGGCGCATCAGAGGAAGGTCAGCTACATGCTAGCCCGGAGCTCAGAGGAGCTGGAGAAACGTCTTCAGACACAGCTCAGAGAGCTGGACCTCTCAAAAGCTGACCCTAAATTGAAAGCAGAAGCTCCTGAACAGGTCAAATGTGATGGAGATGATGGCTGTAAATGCTCAGTGGACTGTAGCGATGACCATACAGCTTGTTTGTCCTCTAACAAGCCAGATTCTGCAGTAGCAGCCGTGGACCTTGCTGAAGAGCAGAGTTCAGCAGAAGGCCAGGTGACGACAGAGGCCAAGTGTGAGAGCGACAGAGTTGAAGAGGAGAGTTGAAGGGAGCAGTATGCTTTTTTGGAGCTTACTACAGGTCCACAAAGATGAGCAGGAAACAAGCCACAAACACAGATGGTTTAAGCTTAGAGGTATAGACCTGAAACACATGTTTAAGCCTTTTTACTCCACGAGAAAAATGAATGGAGTTTTCAAAATTCGCCAATATGTTCCAAGCCACACAAGTTTTTCTTGTGTACATTTTTCCACAGAATGTCACTGGATCCTCTGAATAACAAGGTTGTTTAGCAGTCAAAATATGAATAATGTTACTAATAGTTTTTTTGCAAAAGTTTAGGCATCCCTGTCCAAATAAGACATTTTATTGATTTTTTTAAAAGAAAAAAACAAAAACAAAAAGTGAACACAGCCTCTGCAGCAAACTATATTAAAATAATATTTTTGTGGTGATGCATAGTTACTTTATATTTTATTTAAAAAAATAGAAAAAAATAGTAATTGTGACGTGCAAAAGTTTGAGCGCCCTTCTAATTCAGTAACATCCCATTATTATGCAAATTTTGCAGCTTGTAAGCAGTTTTGGAGCCAGCTAGGAGTCTTTCCGTTTTTTTGGTTTTTTTTAGGATTTTTCAGCCACTCTTCCTTCTGCTAGTTCTGCAGTATTCTTGGCCTGTCTCGCATACACATCATTTTTAAAATCTGGATCCACAGATTTTCAATGCGGAGAACTGTGAGGGCCATTCCAAAAGCTTCAGGTTGCATTGTATGAAGTAGTTAATGGTAGATTTTAAGGTTTTCATTGGATCATTGAGAGCGTTTACAAGCACTTAATAATCCGATAACTGCAGAATATCAAATTTTGTCCGTAATTCGTTCAATGCCTTAACATGCACATGGGTAATCAGATAATGGGAAACTCCAGGTCTACATGAGCCAGACAGTAATCAGATTTCTGCTTTGCAACCGGCCAGTAAACTCAGAAGAAGACGTGACGTAAACATATTTTAAAATTCAAACTTAATGCCGTGGCTTTTTTTTTTAAATGTCACACCACTTTACCTGAAAATATGAACATACATCATCTAGAAGATGAAGAATATTTAAATCCCTCATTTTGTCAAGCATGTGTTTGGTTTCAGTGTCGCTCCGAAAGTGTTTTGCTGAGCCTCTCAGCAGCGCTGCTTGCCTATTTCCGGTATCGCCGTCTGTTTTCGCACATGCACAGACTGAGAAATCTGAAAGAAATCGGAGTAAGAGTTCACATGTACTGACTGATACAAATCTGATTACTGAGCTAAAATCCAGCTCTCTTTATCAGATTTCTTAATTGGATTTCTAGACCTTACTCTAATCTAAGAAATCAGAGTATGCTGTTTACATGACCAACTGCAGAAATCTGATTGTGATCGGATTATTGAGTGCATATAAACATACTCATAACAGATCCACCCCCGTGCTTAACAGTTGGCAAGGCGTTCCTTTCATCAAATGCTGCTCCTTTTCTCCAAGCATACCTTTAGTGATTGAGTTCCATTTTTACTTCATCAACCCACAGCACCAGTTTCCAAAGTGCCTCTGGTTAATCTTTTAATCTCCTTAACAACCTCATAATTCAGAGGATTCAGTGACATTCAGAAGAAAATGTAGGTACAACAAAATGTATTGGTTTTGGGAGACTTTTGTTGACCACAAGGTATGATGGCAAATCAAAAAATGAGAAATCTGCTTGAGTTTCTAATATGGCCATAACGTTGACTACAAAATGACTACAACATTGGCCTGTTAATCGGAATTCAGTACTTTTATGGTATAAAGCAAATTGCTTTGATATTACTAAATACTGAAAAATTCAGTACCAAATTTCCATATCTGTGTAGTCAATCTTAATGTCAGTTGGCTAATAAGGATGCCTTTTCCATTATCTAGACTGCTGATTAGTTGTATAAAGTCAACATAGAAGAATGCATCGATAAAATTTCACATCATTTCTCCAGAATGAAGCTAATGCTAAATTTGTACTTTAAAAATGCTATTAAGTATCGTCTTGAAGTTGGTAACAAAGTCAAGATATCAGTAACAATATCAGTTAAAAAATGTTTTAAATGATATCTTAGTGGTAGATTAATTCGCACACCCAGCAAAAGGATGAATCACTGTTTACCACCATCGATGGATACGCTTACTCTCTATTTCTGGAAGCGTTCAGAAACAGCATTAGCATGCTAACACTGACATTTGAGTTGCAATGTCATGCACTGTTTACATGCATTTGATTGGTTTTAACTTATGTAACCTGCCTCAGTGCAGTATGATGTAGATAGCACATTTTCACAGCACATTTGTTCCGCACATTTCATTTGTTCGGTTCTTCAATTGTAATATCTACCATGTCTTAAAATCTTGCTTGATTTAAGCTATGCTTTAGCGTCACATATGTCCTACTGAACCATGTTCAGGGATCAACTTCTTTAGACTGACAATGACAACTGAATTTTGTACATTTTATCTAATGCACAGTTTTTAAATACATTTTATATATGATGGGAGTTCCACTGATTTTTTTGGAAACTGGCATAATAAAATCGTTAGGATGTAAAAAGTAACTCAAAGTGGTTTGATGTGAAATGCTTCATTTAGTTTACGGGTCGGCTCTTTGAGGTGTTTTAACAATTTGTCCTACCGGTCGAGCGGTACTGCCGCACATGCCTATATCACAGTGTAGCACAGTAACTTAGTTTTTCGAAAAATTGTGTTGGGTTTTTTTAATTGTAATTCAGCCTTACGTCAAGTGTCAGATTTAGGGAGAGCTGGGCAGTATGACAGTGTTTATCCTTATTGTGATCAATTACATCACAATACGTCACAATATGCTTTTCTTGTCATATTGTGGATATCGTTAGTACTTAAAAACCGCTTACCAACTGCATGTTTCATTACCAAGAGGTCATATTTAGTCTGTTTTAATTTAATTTAATGTAGTGCAGTGCAGTGTGTAAAAAGTTGAATACAAATAATTGAAATCATAGTTTTTGACAGTACTCATAGTATTTTGAAAAATGTGGACTTTGTTATAATTTATATTTTAAGTTGTAAAAAAATATATATATTGTGACACTGTGTACTGTAAAAAATTATCGTGATATGACATTTTGCTCTATCGCCCACCTCTAGCACCCATAAGGTGGTTTAGGCTATCAAAATATCCTATCTACAGGTTTATGTAGGAGCTACCTATAAATATGTCCTAAGGTGGGACTTTTCGACAAGATAAGACACCGGCCCTTGAAGGTGAACGGTGGGATCCGACTCGCATCGAGGAGCCATTTTAGTTTTTTGATTGTTTTGTTTTTGTAGGTTCTGACTAGTGGTGGGTGACTGAGGCCCAGAGGCCAGCACAGTTTGGTGAATTTCCTGCTCTAGCAAACCATCTAAACCTGGTAATTAGCTTATAAATTGAATAGGTGTCCTTGAGGAGGAGAATCACCAAACTGCCAGAATCCAATCTCCATGCCTGCCTTAGACAAAACAAGTGGGTAGATGATATCAGTGGTTCTTAAACTCGTCCTCAGGAACCACCAGACATTTAACATTTTTGTTCCAACTTGCAGTGAATAGGGATCCATCCAAAATGTGGAACGTCTGGTGGGCCTTGAGGACCAGTTTGAGTGTGCAATCCTCTTCCTGGAGATCTACCACCCTGGAGTTCTGATTGAACACACCTGATTGTAATATTCAGAAGCCCCTGAAAGGCCTTCATTACCTGGATCAGGTGTGTTAGATTACGGTTGGAGCTAAACTCTGTGGAGGATCTCCAGGAAGAGGATGGACACCCCAGAACTGGATCATATGATGATATAGAAGAAAACCTGCTACTCGCATTACTGTGTACCTGATTTTGCTTTCGGTGATTTTCTCATTATTATTAGCTGTGTTTCCAAGGTATGGACTTAAATTCATGTCATGAGAAATTTGAATTTTAATGCAACAATCGGAATTTGACAGTTGTGGTGTCTACCAGGTCTTCCAGGTGGTTGTTAAGAGTCCCATTTTCCCATTGTTTTGAAATATCCAATTTTTTTCCCTTATTGTCCTTTGACTTTCCTCTTCCTTATGCAAGTGGATTATCTTATATCTGATCTCCTCAGAAACATCTCCTGAAAAAGAATAATTGCACAGAACTATGTCCAAAAGTCCATCAGAGTGGTATGATGTGAATTGCATTATAAAGAAACTTACCAATCCTTCTTACTACTGACCGATTCTTTACAGTGGTGTTGATAGGAACCAGACGTCTGAAGAGTTTAATGCCTCTCGAAGCAACATCACATTACATGAAATGGTCATGAATACACTTCCTGATGTCTGAGACACTGTTATACAGTAGTTTTGAGAAAGTTTTGGCCTAAAACATATTCTTAAAATCTATTAATAACAGAGAGGTACATGCATTAATTATAATAACTCAAAAGACACACAGGTTAGCTGGTCATTTTAGATAGAAAATAAACTGATTATATTTGTGGACATTTTGTGGATCCAGCCGGTTCCTATCACCACTTTCATGTCCATCATTGTAAAGATGTTGGTCATTCTTCTACACAGCACCATTTCAACCCACTTGTCTGCGTCTCATCATTAAATTATGCAGAATGTTGAAATATTGGTGGAGTTGCTCTTTAATTTTAAAGGGGAATTCCACTGACTTTTCAAATTTTTTTTGCATAATTCTGTCATTGTGATATAAACAACGTCATTCAGAGTGGTTTGGTTTGAAATGGTTGATTGTAGGGACTCTAATGTCTTTACAGTGGTGGTGATAGGAACCAGGGGTCACCATGACTACAACACAAATATAGCCATTTTTTTAAATTACTATCCAAAACCACCAATGAACCTACACGAGTCTTCTGAGTTCTCATATGCAATGGTGTTTATGTTAAAATGCTCTTAAGTCTGAAAATAGTTTTCTTTGGGGACTATTTTGCCTTACAACACCCTTCATTTATCCCTCCACCACAAATGGATTAAAATACATTTTAAGCCAAATCTTTATCACAAAACTATCACAGAACCGTGTCTCAGGCAGTGGACAGTGTATTCACGACTATTCCATGTAATAACTTTCTGTGAGGTGGACGTCTGGTTCCTATCACCACCACTGTGCACAGTTTTTTTTCTAGAACAGAGATTTCACACCAAACCACTCTGAATGTCTTTGTTTACATCTCAACCATTCAATTTTGGAGACATTTTGAAAAATCGCTGTTTTTTCCCTTCGGTTTTAACCGAGAGCGCCAACGAGAGCGGAAAGACTACATATCCCAGCATGCCAGGCTACGGAAGTGCGTGCGGAATGTTGTCCGTGCGGAAAAGAGAGTTGAAGGTTTCTCTCACTTCTGTTTCTGGATTTATTAAAGCTCATGAGAGTAAACAAACGCAGTGTTTGCCTTTCCTGTGTCTGTGCCGTGATTCTCGTCGTAACTCTGACCTGGACCGTCTGCACTCTCATGTCTGACTCACCGTCCAGCGCAGCAGGTCGGTCTGAGGACGCTCAGTAACTCTGAGCTCAGCTGAGTTACTCTGCTGGCTCTGTAAAGCTTTCTGACGAGTTCATGAGGAAAAAGAAGCGTCTCTTGTGGAGATACAGCCTATAATAACTTCATTTATGTGTATTACAGGAGAGATACTGCCTGCAGTAAGTACATACACTAATCAGCCATAACATTAAACCACCTCCTCGTTTCTACACTCACTATTTATCAGCTCCACTGACCACATAGGAGCACCTTGTAGTTCTACAGTTACAGACTGTAGTCCATCTGTTTCTCTGTGTACTTTATTACCCTGTTCTTCAGTAGTCGGGACCCCAACAGGACCACCACAGAGCAGGTATTATTTGGGTGGTGGATCATTCTCAGCACTGCAGTGACATTGATGTGGTGGTGGTGGTGTGTTAGTGTGTGTTGTGCTGGTACGAGTGGAACAGACACAGCAGTGCTGCTGGAGTTTTTGAACTCTGTGTCCACTCACTGTCCACTCTATTAGACACTCATACCCTGTTGGTCCACCTTGTAGATGTAAAGTCAGAGACAGTAGCTCATCTATTGCTGCAGTTTGTGTCGGTCATCCTCTAGTCCTTCATCAGTGGTCACATTACGCTGTTGCTTCTCAGTCCAGCAGCGACACTGAGGTCTTTAAAAACTCCAGCAGCACTGCTGTGTCTGATACACTCGCACCAGTGCAACACACACTAACACACCACTACCACATCAATGTCACTGCAGTGCGTGGTTGGTATAGTGTAGTGAGTAACATCTCTGCCTTCTACACTGTAGACTGGGGTTTAATCCCCACCTGGGTAAGCAGCCTACACTATACCAATAAGAGTCCTTGGGCAAGACTCCTAACACTACCTTCGCCTACCTGTGTAAAATGATCAAATTGTAAGTTGCTCTAGATAAGAGTGTCTGCCAAATGCCATGAATGTAAATGCTGAGAATGATTTACCACCCAAATAATACCTGCTATGTGGTTGTCCTGTGGGGGTCCTGACCACTGAAGAACAGGGTGAAAGTATGCAGAGAAACAGATGGACTACAGTCTGTAATTGTAGAACTACAAAGTGCACCTATATAGTAAGTGGAGCTGATTAAATGGACAATGAGTGTAGAAACAACTTTAATGTTATGGCTGATTCGGGTGCTGCTATTAGAACCATATCAGTATATAAATTCACATCAGACTACGGAGCGGTTGTCCTTACCATAACATTGACCAAATGACCAAAGTTTTTTTTCGAATCCAGGCAAAGCTGCTTTCAAATGAATAACCATTTAGCCAAAGTAGAAATGGATAAAAGTGGGGGAAGAAATGTTAAATAAATATCTTTTCATTTTTATTTTCATTTTCATAGGGTTATAATTAATGTATATCAGATTACACTGTAAATTTCATATTCATGTTATATTCAAATATCAGAAGTTATCTTCTAAAGCTAATAAAAAAGGACATGCTATTTTCCATTTAATCTCAAATACTAATTAAATTCAAACTAAAAATTACCTCAAAAACATTTTGTTCAAATTTCATTTTCCCCAGTGTGTTAAAGTCAGCAAATAAACAATATCTGTGCATTGAAATGTGCAAAATTGTGCAATCAATACTTATTTTCACGTGTAATTTGACCAGGTGTCCTTAAACGTTTGCATATGACTGTGTCAAAAAAATACATGTCCATTGAAACGTTTGACCATACTTATCTTTGTCCTGTTGCAGGGTCAATGAGGGACCACACTCTGGACTACTTTCTGAAGAAAGGCACAATACAGGAGAGGGATGCTGCAGATATCAACTGGTATCATGCAGCCAACAGCAAGGACAAGATTAACGAAGCACTTCAAGGTTTAAAACAAGTATTTTGTTTATTGGCGTATACTTTTAATAGTTTTGATCTTATTGAATTGTATTTGTCTGTTGGTTCATCGTTTGTGTTCAAGGTCCTGCCCAGATGATTGAAGCTGATGTTCTTCTCAGGGGTCATGACCCAAAGGAACCTATAATGGCACATCCTCCTGATACAGACAGTGACATTACACTGCAAGACTGGCTGAGTGCGGTGGTGAACTCAGACAAGGGCATCAAACTGGACTTCAAAAGGTCAGTGAATACAGGTGGATCTGGAGACACAGCTTGTGTTAGTTAAAACCAGTTATAGTCATTGGGAGGAGTGAACAAACAACATGGTAATTAGAGCCAATCTAAGTCAGTGGAAGGTCTCAGAATAAATGACACAGTGACTAGAACCAATCACAGTCAGGAGGAGGTCTCAGAACAGATTACACAGAGATTAGAACCAGTCACAGTCAGGAGGAGGTCTCCGAACAAATGATGACTAGAGCCAGTTACAGTCAGGGGGAGGTCTCAGAACAAATGACACAGTGACTAGAACCAATCACAGTCAGGGGGAAATCTTAGAATAGATTACACAATGATAAAAACCAATCACAGTTAGGAGGAGGTCTCGGAACAACTGATGACTAGAGCTAATCACAGTCAGAGGGAGTTCTCGGAACCAACAATGTGATTAGAACCAATCACAGTCAGGAGGAGGTCTCAGAACAACTGATGATTAGAACCAGTCACAGTCAGGGGAGGTCTCAGAACAGATTACATGGTGATTAGAACCAATCACAGTCAGGAGAAGGTCTCTGAAAAAATGATGACTAGAACCAATCACAGTCAGGAGAAGGTCTCAGAACAACTGATGACTAGAACCAGGGAGGGAGGTCTCAGAACAAACAATATGGTGATTAGAACCAATCACAGTCAGAGGGAGGTCTCAGAACGAACAATATGATGATTAGAACCAATCACAGTCAGGGGAGGTCTCAGAATAGATTACATGATGTTTAGAACCAATTACAGTCAGGAGGAGGTCTCAGAACAACTGATGACTAGAACCAATCACCTCCAGGGGAGGTCTCAGAATAGATTACATGATGATTAGAACCAGTCACAGTCAGGAGGTGGTCTCAGAACAACTGATGACTAGAACCAATCACAGTCAGGAGAATAATAAGGTCTATAAAGGCATGGCTGGGTGAGTTTGGCGTGGATGAACTTGACTGGCCTGCACAGAGCCCTGACCTCAACCCCATCGAACACTTTTGGGATGAACTAGAACAGAGATTGTAAACTAGGCCCTCTCGTCCAACATCTGTGTCTGACCTCACAAATGCTCTCCTGGATGAATGGGCAAAGATTCTCACAGACACTCTCCAACATCTTGTAGAAAGCTTCCCAGAAGAGTGGAAGCTGTTATAGCTGCAAAGGGGACCAGCTCCATATTAATGCCTATGGATTTAGAATGGGATGTCATTAAAGCTCTTGTAGATGTAATGTGCGGTGTAATGTGTCTCTATACTTTTGTCCATATAGTGTATCTTGTACTGGCATTTTTGTTTCATTTGCATGTACCCCATCCACATTAATAAAATAATCTTTCCAGGTGGCGTTAACAGTATGTGCAGTACTGTGCAAAAATCAGAGGCTACTCTTCCCCTACGCTCCAGTTTTGCAGACTTGCTGAAACTGAAGTTTCTAGGAATAGCATGTGATTGCTGAATTTGGAACTGGACCTTACTCTTTCTTTGCTCTCTCAAGCCTAGCAGCAGTGGAGCCCTCTATGGCTCTTCTAGAAGACGCCCGGGTTCAGCTGGAAGGACCCGTGTGGATCAATGCAGACATTCTTCCAGGGCCTGGGGGCCATGCGACTCCCTTAGACACCCAGGCCTTTCTTCAGGCAGTGGCTTTGAGAGCGGAGGGGGACGTGCTGTCCCTGGGTTGGACCACTGGATGGTCTCCAGATACAGACAACCCAGGTAAAATGTGCTTTGGTACTTTGCAGGAAATCTTTTCTTGGTGTCTTTACACAGTATTACAAGGTCTACTGGATATAGTCTTGCTTTTGATATCAGGCTTTTAGAACCTTGGGCATGAAGAGAGTGTTATAATAATCCAATAAAAAATAGCTGGGTAGATAGATTACCGTTCATATGACTGTTCAGACTTTATCTAGTATGGGCACTGTACATGGTAATCATGAGGCAAGAGTGTGGATCTAGCTGAGTCTTCTGCACACCAGTTTTACAGCGAGGACAACCTCAATCTCGTTTTCTGATTAACTTCTTTAACTTGTCTTTAGCTTGTATTGTTCTGCTATTTGCCAGACATTTTCAGACATAATTGTTGAACATAGCTACACTATATAGCCATAAGTATGTGGACCCCCCCCATAATTGAATCCAGGTGTTACAGCCACACCCCTTGCCAACAGGTGTATAAAATCAAGCACAAAAGCCTTGCAGTCTCCATGGACAAACACTGGCAATAGAATGGGTCGTACTGGAGCTCAGTGACTTTGAATGTGGCACTGTCATAGGATGCCACCTTTGCCACAAGTCAGTGCATGCAATTTCTGCCCTGCTAGAGCTGCCCCGGTCAACTGTAAGTGATATTATTGTGAAATGGAAGCGTCTAGAAGCAACAACAGCTCAGCCACGAAGCGATAGACCATGCAAACTCAGAGCAAGGCAGAGTTCAAAACTGCCTCTGGAAGCAACATCGGCACAAGAACTGTGTGTTAAGAGCTTCATGAAATGGGTTTCCATGGCCAGGCAAGTGCACAAACACCTAAGATCACTATGTGCAATGCCATGCATCGGCTAACAGTACTGTAAAACACGCCAAGACTGGACTTTGTGTGATGGTCATCAGATAAACAGCACTAAAAGCTTTCATGTTTGAGAGAAAGAAGAAAATCAAGCTCTACTCTTGCTTCAGATCTCATCCACAGGTGTTTTGGTCCATCCTTCCACTGTAAGAAGACAACTCAGCGCTATGGGTCTGAAAGGATGTGTAGCTGTACAAGAAGCCTCACTGAGAAAATAAAACAGACACCTCAAACAAAGGAGCTGCTGGTGTTCTCAGAACAATGGACTGGTCACCCCAGACCTCAGCATCATTTAATATACATAGGATTGCTTGGATTATGAGAAGCTGAAAGTGTAACCAACTTCCTAGACTGAACTTTGAAGGTGTTGAATGTGTTTTCTGTTTTTTCAGGAAACTGAAAAATGAATAATGTCGAATCAAGCTGCATATGTATCCATTTAACTGTTGTCACAGGTTACAGCTGGGAGATGGTTCAGCAGATGGAGGCGGTTTGTAGGCCACTGAGGCAACCAGTGACATTCCCGGTGCGAGCTGCTCTTCTGCCCCAGTCCTTCCCACAGTTACAGTGGCTCTTGCAGCAGTCTGATAGGTGAGACTCCGAATTTGCTTCAATAGTTGCAGCAGTCGTACATCAGTATTCAGCGTACCGGAGACTATTAAGGTTTGGTTCTGTGTGCCACCGTCTGTTTGCTTCCTAAGTGGCTGTTAGCAGCGAGCTGTTGATTGCCTGCTTGATTGGTTTCGTGTAATGTAACAAAAGCAGTTCATCAGAATGCCTTTAGAGCGCTAGAGGTGTAATTTGGTGCCTGCTCCTCCTCTTGCATTTGTTTGTGACTGGAATAGAAGCACTCAATTGAGCTGAAAGGTGCATAGAAGTGCATAGAAGCGTTAGGCTGGATCAAATCCCCCTTCTCCAGACCTAGTGCACTTCAGCACCCTGCTTTCCCTCTTGAGCTGCGCTCTAGCAGTGACTGCGCAACTTAATGCCGTCCTTCACCGCTAGGCAAGTCGGAGAACAGCACACCCAGCTCTCAGAGTAAATTACTGTGGAGAAGCACAGCTCAGAGAAACCCTCAACAAATTCATGCACTGTAGTATGGTAAAAGTCAAGCCATCTAACTTGCTAAATGTTAAACAGTGATATAAGAGAGAGGAGCTGATTAGCATTAGCTTGGCATGATAACGGTGCTGCTCATCTCAGAACAAGTTCTGAATAACTAAAGCACTGACACAAGTTTAGATGACAGTGTTTTAAATCTGAAGTGAAGTTGAGCAGCTGGCACTTCTGAAGGGACAGAAAAGCCAAATTGAACCTGTGCCACACACCGCAGTACAGGTTTGATTCTAACTGTTGCTCTGCTGAAACAAGTGTAGATGATAAAAACTCATATCTGAGAGAGTGAAAGTTGAGTGACAGATCACAAATCGAACCTGTTCTGTGGTGTTTCAGACTGTAGTGTTTTGGCAAAGCTAATGATAGTTAGCAGGCCAGATGTGCCACACAGCACAGAGCTGGTTCTAGCTAAACCATGCTAAAATTACACGTTTAGAGGATTTCTGAATGTGCAAAGTGACTGGCTTTGGAGTGAATCTAAATCAAACCATATCACTGCATAAATCCTGCCACTTTGTGGATGGGAAGAGAAGTGTTCAGTACCTTTAGGTACACATTAACATGTCCTGTCTCTCTTGAGCCTGGCTCAAATGAACTGCTGCTATTAATATGGATGCCAATATTTTAGAGACTAAATATAAGAATGAAATTGCTCTTTAGAGTGTGTTTTGTATCTTCTTAAAGAAAAGTAAAAAAAATCATGTTTACACAATTGTCCACTTAGCCCAGAAGTAGTTGATCAGCCAAGTCATGTATGGTGTCCAAATTTAGCTTCTTTAGTTTAATGCTGGGGCTATGAGGCTAATGTTGCTAATTAACACGTAAGTGACTTTAAGTAAGTCTTTTCTGTAAATACATCCTTATAACTACTCCCAATCCACTTAAACCACATCCAGGTCTTCATTAAGGTTGCGCAGACTTGCCGATGTGGTTTAGGACACAGTCTGTCTTTCTGTGAACTATAAAAATAAACAAAAAACGATCAGCCACTTTAGACAACAGCGTTGTGGTAAATTTTGCCTCCCCTGCAGTACTTTTATGCATATTTATAGTATACAGATGTGTTTACAGAAAAGATTTGAGTGACTTGGCTACTAGTGGTTGTTAGCAACATTAGCCTTGTAGCTAAGCAAAATTTGAACACACATTTGTGGCTAACTGATTACATCTGGGGTGTACAGTTGTGTAGATTTTTCATCAATTCATTTGAAGGCCTAGAAGACATGAAGGGGATACAGTATAATAACAGGAATAGAAATTAAAAATGGTTTTATTTGATCGCATATAATGTTTTAATGTCAGTCAAACTGCATTTTCATTCAAATCCGTCCTGTTTTTATTATCTCTTTGTTACTTAAAATGATTAGACACATTCTCCTAAATGTAGTGTTTGATGTTATATGTTATGTAATATTCTGTAGTGCAGCATAGCATCCCTCAGTCTTACTGGATTGACAGAATTTTGTATTGTTTTTGTGTTTTTCGCAAATATATCACACAGTCATTGGGAATCTCTGTGGTGTCAACCAGTTCTGACTGTTAGCGGCTAGTGGTACAAACAGTAGTGATATAGCATGAACCTTGATTAAGATGAAAAAATTCAAACAGTCCATCCCCAAGTATCTACAGTAAAGCACCTGTAGTCTTTCAAAATTTACATCCACCTTTAGGATACATCATCAGAAGGGACTTTTCCTGGTAAATCTCGCTCTAGAGACCACTGCAGCGCAACTGTAGGATGCGAGGAGGCATATTTACAACAGAATTAGTGGTGGTTACATTTTTAAATTTGGTTGGAGTGTCCCAGTGATGTAAAAATGAATACCTTGATGGTCAGAAAATACAATACTTAGAGGCTCCTAGAGGTTTATCAATAGTAATAAGAGAACTGCGTAAAAGTAAAACCTGATGTGTAAAAAATTAAGCATGTGAGTGTTCATAACAGGAATGTACAAAAACAGTTGAGTCATAAAGTACTGCCAAGCGTTTCCAAATTCAATGTCCATTAATCTAACAGGGTATCTGTGTTGCTGCTGCCCTTTAGGCTATGGCATACTGCAGGGGTATTCAACTCATCTGTTAAAGTTTTCCACTTACCCCGGATATAGTCAATTAGCCAAGAAGTGTTTAGAACCCACATTTTCCTTCTTTAGGTTAGAACTGGAGCTACAAGGTTAACACTAGAACTCAATAGTCACTCAAATATCCCAAATTGTTTCTGTGAAGGTACATCCCCAAAACTTCTCTCTAAAACTCATTCAGATCTTCATTAAGGCTGTGCACACTTGCCGATGTGGTTTACAACACAGTATAACTTTGAGCCACTTTAGACAACAGGTTCTGTATTCACAAACCACTTTAGGTGTAGACGTGGTGATCTAGAGTCCGTATCATAAATATGGAGGAATCTGATCCAAGATCAGTCCTGCTTTGTGAATACCAGGCCAGGTGTTGTCTGGGACAGCTGCCTGTAGCAGCAAAGTTTGTTCATTTTATAGTTCCCAGTAAGTCATACTGTGCTGTACACCACATTGAAAAATATGTGCGACCTTAATGAAGACATGGATGCGGTTTGACTAAGTTTTGCCGATGTATTTTTACAAAAATGATTTGGGCTGTTGGGGTGACCACTGAGTTCTAGTGTTAGCAATGTTAGCAATGTTGCACTCATAGCCCCATCTCTAAGCTAAGGAAGCAAAGTTTGGACCATCCAAAGTTTGATCATCCAAGCCTGGATGATCAACCCCATCTGGGTTAAGTGGATAATTAGCTAAATTTGATTTTTCACTTCACTATCCCTTTAATTGTTGGGTTTAGTGGGTGTGTTTGAGCAGGAGAGTCAGCGAACTGTACAGGATAAGACTGGAGCTGAATACCCCGGCAGACTGACACTCCATTATGATAAAATTATTTCCACTTGTCTTCTCTCTGTCTGTGTTTCTTTCTCTTAGGTACACTCTGACTGTATGGACAGGCCAAAGTGACATGTTGAATGTGGAGGACCTGTTGCCCTATAGGCAAAACTTCAACAAATCTAGGATCTACTACGATCTGCTAGAGTCTCAGATATCAAAGTTCAAAACACTACCTGGGTACAACTAAAAGAGATTAAGTGGCACAGAGTTCTGGAGGAGATTCCTTCTATTATATTGAGATGAAGGAATTGTGTCAGAGATGAAAAGACCCACTTAGATTCCACCACTTTTTCAAAATTTCTGCATAATTTAACTGTTACAATGTAAAGTCAGTCAGAGTGATTTGAAGTGAAACGCACCATTCCAGAGAAATCATCTAAGTAATATTATTTATAGCGATGGAAATAGGAACCATGTCTGAGTATAATGCCTCTAAAAGATACGAAATAAGATTGAAAATGGTATTCCATGATATGGTTTCCAGTAGTCCTGATATCCGAGACATTGTTTTACGATTTAAACATTTTTTTTTATTTATTCATGGCAGAAAGGTGCATGCAGGGTGTTGGTAACCAAATTAGTCCCTAAAGAAAACAGTTTTCTGGTTTATCACTATTTTACCATTATGAATGCTACATATAAAAACTTGTAGTTTATTGGTAAATTTGGATAACAAATAAAAAGATTATATTTGCTTTGTAGACACTGTGACCCTTGCTTCCTTTCGCATATCAACACCACTGTAAAGAAATCTCAGTTGGTAATTTTCTATACTATACACCGTTTTCCATCAAGCCACTCTGACTTTGTTTACATCTCAGCAACGACACTGTTGAAAAAAAGGTTTACAGACACAGACACTTGGTTAGTTTTGATATGTTTTGGATGTTTTGCTTTACTACAAGCATTGTAATGATCCACAAACTGTGGTTGACAGTGCCTGAACAGACTACCACATTCTGACCTTGTATTGGCAGCAGATTAACACAGGTTACAATGTCTTGGTTTTTAATTGTGAAGATGGATACGGCATTTAGGTACACAGTTGAGGGCACTAAAGAATGACCACACATCGACAAGACACAACTGAAGTAAAAGGCGCAATGTTTCTAAATAAAATATATCTGGGATATAGATTATCATTATAGACATCAACCTTGTTACTCTATGGTCAAATATCAGTGTTTTGGTTGTGACATTATGTTGTATTTTTACTGCAAAGTCACAGTTTTCAAAGTGAATTTTTAACAAATGTCATTTGAAATGGTTTATGATGTGTAATTAATCAGAATAAACATTAATAGAGTCTTTACTTTATGAGCGTGTGGACCTTATGTCAGCCATACACGTAAGCATTTACTGTCCAAAGATCTCCTCAAAGTTGACCAGGCGCTTCATCTGCTCTGTTTGCATGGAGTGTCTTCTTAAGAGAGTCTTCTTGGCCTTCAGATCTCGGGGAAGGCTGGGGGCGCAAGGCACAAAATGCCTTGAACCAGGAACAATGGGTATGGTCCCAGTCATGGCTCCAGTGGCAGTCCCAGGCTTGATAATGCTAGCAGAGCCAGTGGTGGTGGAGGTGGTGGTGGTGTTAACTTTGATATCTGGGATGGGAGCATGAGGGTTGAGTGGTGGCAGGTAGCCTGGCCGAGTCTGAGAGATGTGATCCAGCAGAAGAGCCCCAGAACCTCTTCGCTCCATCATTGCCGGGCTCCTCCGCTGGACAATGCTCTCTAGAGACTCTCTGGAGCCAGACAGGGTGGAGGATCGGCTGGATACCAGCTTACGTTTCTCTGTTGCCCCTGTTACCCCTCCTCCCGTGGCTCCAGCCTTGCCAACCTCGTCTGAGTGCTGGCTCCCAAATTGAGGAAGCTGGGAGTCCGAGCTGTAGTGGTCCATGCCAATGTTGCGCCGGCGGACCACATTCCGCAGGCTAGACACTGCCAGGTTGGGCAGGCAGTCTGGATCTTTGTCCACAGGAATGGGTTCAGTGGCCGAAGCCTCTTTAAGAAGGTTCTGGTGCGAGGAGGAGTGTAGCAGTGAAACACCATCGTAGGACATTTTCCTGCTGAGCCATTTCGCTTCCTTTACTTGCTCCCTTTCTGATACGGATGCTTCTTCCAAAGCTCGTAGCAGACCAGTGGCATCTTTGACGTCAATGCTTTGATGACGAGCGACAGGAGGTGCTCTTTGAAGCAGGGGACGATGGCTGTTGAAACCAAATGAGAGCTCCTCTTCTGGAGTGATATCCAGAAGCTCCTCAGTCAGGGAGGAGGCCTTGCTTTGCTGCAGCAACAGGGATGGAGGGATCTTTAGCCAAGGTTCTGAGTGGAGCCTCTGGAGGTGCAAAAGCTTGGCCACACCAGTAGATCGCAGTGGACTTGGGTCATGTGTGGGAGACCCTGGCTTCGAACTAGAAGTTGATGTTGGAGTAGAACCCATTCCTCGGTTCTCCCTCAGGTTCAAAAGGGCGTTCTCTGACTGGCTTGAAAGGGGGGAAACACGAGGAGTGCAGAATTGAATCTCGGAGGGTGACATGCAGGCAGTGGGGGCACAATACAAGCGATCCTCTAAATCTGGTGGAGGAGGGACATTCAGGTACTGCTTGGTCATTTGCCTACCAGAAGGGAGTTTGTCTGTGGTGATGATGATGACCTCCTTGCCTCTTGCCTTACAAGCATCCAGTAATACTCGCAGAGCATCCTTGTCTCCAGCGTTAACAGCATACACCAGCGCAGAGGAACCAGTATGATCCTCTAAACTTGGGTCTGCTCCACTAGACAGCAGCTGGATTAGAACCTCCTCTCCAGCCCGGTCCAAACAGGCATGCATCAGCGCTGTCTTACCGGACTTGTCCTGGATATTTGGGTCAGCACCATTCTCCAGAAGATACCTGTATAAACAACAGAGCAGTTACTCCTTGATCAAGGCAGGCACCAAACCCTACTGTAGGGTACAAAAGAACAACCATTAAGAACTAAATTAAACTAAGTTAATTTAGCACCAGGTCAGCCAGTTTTTCCAAATGATCCCAACGACTTTTCCTGTAATACCCTGCACTGAAAAGTGCTTGCTTCAACTCACTAGCCAGTTACTAAACCTAACTAAGTAACTAAGCCAGGTTTGAAAAAGAAGGGACACTATGGAGGGCTGTAGTTAACTACAGGACTCATTATGCAACCCAGTTGTAAAGATGAGCAATAAAAAGGCCAGGTTTTGGCACTGCAACATAGGAAGAAATAGGCATTCCCTAGTTTGGCAGTCTCTACAGACAACAGGGCAAAATTGCAAAATTGCATGGCATACCTGACCATCTTGGGTTTTGGCACGCTCTGAGCATCAGTGTGATGAGTCTTGCAGGCAATCATCAGAGGTGTCTCTCCACGCTCATTACTCTCATTAATATAAGCCCCGCCCTCTAAGAGTAGTCGTGTTAGTCGCAAACGGCAAAGATAGACGGCCTTTAGGAGGGAGTTGCCATCAGTCCGCACCTCTGTGGAGTCCTCCATGGCCATGTGCTGTTACAGAGAGGGAGTTGGCTCTGTGGTTTAAAGGATCATCTGTAATTGGTCAGCTGTCTGTGGGGCACAATGAGTTAAGACGGTCAGGAATGTACATCATGGATTCATCAGTTTTCCAATAATAATAATGACAAATAAAAGATTAAAAACATCTGCCACTAAAACAAATCATGCATATAGGCTTCTGGCTTTCATTCATTGCTAGCTATGTTTATAATTCTGGATTATTGTGTTCAATATGCTGACAGTTTCTCCACACCATGCCCCTTATACAAAGACAGGCAAAGACTGACATGAAGATGTTTGTTGTGATGACCATGTAGGTGGCACGTCAAAATGGTACTTGACAAGAAAGATGCGAGAAAGCTGCCTTGGTTATCTAATCCATTATATAAGCCCCTTTATTAGATTCCATCAGTACAAGGTTGTTTTTTTTTCCTTCTCTTTGTGTTTGTCAAATTGAAATCTGTATATGGGGAAAAAAATGGTTACATACATAACAAGCTCCATGCTTTGCCCTGAATAAAATAGGTAGGCAGAACGCAGGTGAAGGCCTAATCTATCCCAAACCATTTTGTCTATGCCAGACTTGGTCAGACTGTATTTATTAAGAGCAAGAGGAAAAAAAAAAACATGCAGAGTTTTGAAAAGCCTGAAAAACTCCTCCGCTTTTGGCTCACTGAATGACGGCATTCCTTTATGTAGTCTATTGTGCGTGTGGCCTTGTTCCCTCATCTTTTGAGTGCAACTCCAGAGTCTGTCATATTTTAGTTGCAGTAAGTGAGAAACAGATAGAAGCGGACTTTATCTAAGAGAAAGACAAATTAGAGAAACTGATGTATACATGTACAGTCTAATGAGGCTCTCAATGTGTGGAGTGTGTAGGCAGATAAAGAGTTTAATGCTTTTTTTTTTTAAATAGAGACAAGACAAACAGATGCTAAACTGATCTGCCATGAGTGGATGCAGTTTGATAAAACGACATTTTCTCTTGGACGGCTGTTTCGTCTGTCTTTGCTCATGGAGGGATGTCTAAATAACTACTGATTTCCACATTTTATGGATGATTTTTAAAAATTTGTCTGAAGTTGTGCATCATTTTGTAGTCGGTGGCATGCCATATCTTCACTGTCCAAAAAGAAATACACTTATCCATTTTTGATTTTTAGTTAGCTGCATCATTAGAGCACATCAGCTGCCTTTTACATTATGTGAAAAATTCATGATGAGTGGACCCACAGAAATGCTCCAAAATCATTTGGAATTAATTCTTTCCTACGTTATCTTACATTGAAAGTTAAGAAAGTTATTGCCTTCTCCTGTAAAGTTACTGTTTTGGAGAGATTGTTCTGTTGGACAGTGGTGAAATGAGGATTTCTGGTGTAACCAAAATAGAAAAAAAGTTGACAACATACAAATGTTTATTGCACGTTACTGTAATTCATTACATCTCGACTTTTAGCCAGCAAACTACTGGATAAATAAGCCAGCGATTAGTAGGCATAAAATGGCTAATGAGTAAAGGTACAAGGTAGGGGTATGTGTTAAACTGGTAACTTGGTGTAAATAAGGTCTGTCTACAAATAGATCCTTCAAACGGTACATTTGCAACTTGGCGGCAGTGCAACAAGGGACAAATCAAGTTGAAATTTTCTCAACTTTATGTGTATGAACAATGGGCCTCATTCACCAACCGTTCTTAAGAAGAGATTTTTTCTTAAAACCCACTTAAGCAGTTTTCGCAAAGATTCTGACATCACCAGTGTTTTCTCATTTGGGATTTGTTCTTAGGTAAGAACAGAATCTACACACTCAAGAGTACAAAGGTACGAACAATTCTGAAGTTTAAAAACGCGTCATTAATCTGACGTAGACGTTTTCTTAGGACCTTCCTCAAGAACAAATTTAAGAAAAAACTTAGGAAGATCTTGGTGAATGAGGCCCAATGATGTGGTGAATCAAAATGACTGGCTTGACTCAACAAATTCCTTGGACCAAACGTAGACATGGGTGTCCAAGGACCCCAGTCTCAATCTCTGTGCACCAGACATCTGAATTCTGAAGTAGTGCAGCTCTGCTAACTGTGACAGCTGAAGTTAGCAAAGATGCTTCTCTTTTCTCACTGTTACCTCGACATGCCAAGCTGTTTGCACATCATCCACTGAGGAGAAAACAATTTACCTTGTGTAGAAGACTAGTTAATGTTGCACTGTTAGCGTTAGCATTAGCTCATCTACCGATTTTACCCACAGTGGCTAAAACAATTCTGTTTGTTTTTGAATGAACATGGCAGTTTTGAAATGTACTCATCTGTCTGCTATAAATTTTTCCTTTGTGCTACTAAATTTGTTCAGTAAAAATAAATGAACCAGAAAACAGTAATGTAAATGGTATTTTTGATTTTGTTAGTTAGCTAATTCTTTCCACAGAGTAATGTTTTCTCCAGCTTAAATAACCACTTTTAGCCATACTGCTACATAGGCGAGCAGCTTTTTGAGGCAGTGCAAATCATAATAAGTCATAATGCATGCTACGAGCAGGCTAAAAGTGCTGTGCATTTAAAGGACGTAGCATGAAAGTAAGTGTACTGTCAAACTTCAACACTATTATATAACAACACCAGCTACTCAAACACTGGGCTAGTACTGCCAAAGCAACCTACCCACCAAATTTGATGAAGTTGGCTGGTTTGTGTAGGGTATTTCGGTGAGGTTAGGCCTGACTGACACATACTACCTCTGCATGGCGCGAGCAATGTGGCAGCGTGATTGATACAGCTTGCACACTCTGGCCTTTCATACATATAACAGAGTTGAGCAGTAAGACAGTTATACGGTCATCCTTTATCCAAATGGATAAATAGTCAAATCAGTGACTGTTCAATAAAAACAGAATTTAGTCAGGAAATCTGTTTTCAGCATAGAATGTGTAACTAGTATTTTGCTCATGAATTAAATTAAATTAGTGTTTTGTAAGGTTTCATTCCATTTTCTGTTTAACTTTCATTGATTTTCATGGCTTATTTCAGTGGATTTTACCATGTCGTGTGCGGTGTTCGTAAAACATCGGCTCCTCGTCTACACTCAAAAACTGTGTTGCTTCTGCCTGTGTGAAAGCACTGACCTGTTAACATGAGCGCCGAAATAAAAATCAAGCCGTTCTACGTTCCACCACTCATTTTTCTCATAGACAAAAATGGCGAGATCTGGAGCACCTTATATGGGCATATCACCAACTACAAAATACAAAGGTCTATTATTGTTTTGCTCATACTACTCTTGAAACACAATGACATGAAGAGCTGTTGATTGATATGCACAGTCATATGCAAAAGTTTTGGCATCCCAGTTGAATTACGTTTTGTTGATTTGCTAAACGAAAAAAAAATGTACATATCCTTTACAGGGAAACAAATGTCTGCAGATTTTAATGAACAATGACGGTTTATTTGCTGAATTAAAAGTATCGGGAAAAAGTAGAACATAAAATGTGACCTGTGCAAAAGTTATGGCACTTTTTATACTTTTATATTTTATTGTTTTCCAATGTTAAAAAGAATTTGTGCATTAAAACTTGCAGCAAAAAATGCCTTTAAGTTCCTTGTAAGCATATATTTATACCTATGTTAACAATCATTCATTAGACCCAATTCATTTTTGATCTGCCAATTTTTTGACACCACTACATCCCAACAGGTCTGTCAGATACACCAGGTAGCAGGGCCCCGTTGATTGGCTAGGTACACGCACTCCGCCAGCAGGTCGTCTAGGCTCCGGCTGCTAATGCTGCGCGCCCCCCGGGATGGCATTTATAGCCATGGTGCGCTTTGTGCGCTCTTCTCCTGGCCTTCAATCGGGCCCCCGAACAGAGAGAATTCTTAATGACCCCTCTCTCACGCCCTCTCACTCTCTCTCTGCCTCACACTGAAGAGCACGGAACAAACAAGCATCCATACACAGATCAGGGCTTGTGATTGTTGCCGGGGAAGCGCTCGAGTGGAACACCAAACAGGCCACTTAATGCACCTGTCCCGATTGGTGATTCATGCCAGATATTGCAATAGGCTACATTATTTTCATTGCTTAAACACTCTAACCACCTCTGTCTGTCTCAACACCTGCCAGGGGTGCATAGCTCTCCAAGTGTAATGAATTCTTTTGTGATTATTGATCACAGTGATTAAAGCTTTATAAATGAAAATCCTGCAAGGTCAGTCATTAATGCTGGAAGCGATTACAGAGCACATTCATCTCTGTTTATAATTAGCACCAAGCTACATCTAGTGGATTGGAGATGAAGGGTGCATATAGCCTATACATTCCTTTGCATACCTGCATAACTTCCACTGTTTTAAAGCTTCTGTGGTTACCACAGTGACCATTAAACAAGGTATGCGTATGCATTTGTTGTGCCATGGTATCTTCGTAAAGAGGCAGATCGTATCGTATATGGGTGGTAATTTGCTGGCAAGGTCAAACACTTGAGAAGACACTTCACTCGAGATGTACATGCGAACTGAAAAAAGGCTTGGAAAACAGATCTGCATTCAAATATCAGTAGACAAGAACTTCATTAGTATCCAATTGTCAGATACCTACACTTAAAAAACACAAAATTACTGTATCACAAACTTTTATCTCCATCTATTCCATTTATAGCATTTGAAAGCTTTTCAGAATTTTTTAGTCTCGAATCAGAATTGTTCCCAATGGTGGTGATGGGAACCAGATGTCTTACGCATGAGACATTACAATAGTTTTATAATAAGATGTTGGCCTAAAACATATTTTCTTAAAATTTATTCATGGTGTAGAGGTGAGCATTTTTGTGCAAAATAGTCCCCAAAGCACTATTAAGTTAAGCACTATTTTACTGTTGTCAGCATTATAAATAAACATTCCTATTGTGTTGGTAGTTTTGGATAGCATATAAAATGGCTGTATTTGTGTTGCAGACATTGCAACCCTCCTAGCATCACCACTGTAAAGAAATCTGAATCTATACACTTCTATAATATGCATTTTAATAGCATTTGCTGTTCAGATTGTGTAAACATTTCATTATGAATTCTTCAAGAAAATGGAGTCTAATAATTCGGTCTCAAAAATGTAAACAAAGTCATTGAGTAGTTTGATGCGAGATTCACCTTTCCAAAAAAAACAAGTCTGAACTGTCCACAGTGGTGGTGACAGGAACCAGACGTCTGAAGAGTTTAATGCCTCTAAAAGCTCCCCTACAGAAAGTTATTACATGAAATTGTGAGTATAGTTGGTCTAAAAAGTATTATTTTAAATCCATTTAGTGTGTAGGGGTACATGCAAGCACTGTAAAGCAAAACAGTCCCAAAGGAAACTTGTGTTTTCAGATTTACCACTATTTTACCATCAACATCACATATAAAAACTGATTCACTGAATGGTTTTGGATGGAGTATATATGTGCTCCCCTGGTTCCTCACCACTTCACAAGTTGGCAAGTTTCTCAAGAATGAAGCATTTGACATCAAACCACTCTGAATGACTTTGTTTATACATAAACGATTGACTTAAGCACAAAAAAGCCAAGGTTACTATTTTGGAAATACAAGCAGTAGCCAAGTTCACTACAAGTTTAAGTGATTTATTAGCCCTTTTCATGCAGAAAGCAAGGGATGTGTCCGAGCAAACCGCCCATAACTGTAGCTATTTCAACTGGGACTAAGCTTACCTTTCCTTTTGCAGATCTCTGTCCTTTTAGGTCCTTGAATAGGTTTGGTTTGAGGGTCTGTCTCACCCCCCCTGTAAAAGGCCAAGTGTTATCCAGTGCAGCAGATCAAAAGAAGTGAAGAGTCAACAAGTACCCAGAATAAATGAGAGCATGTATGTGTGCTGGTTTGCAGTGCGTGCAGTGAGAGGAAGGGAGCGTGAATGAGGGATGAAAGGGAGGGAGAGGGAGAGTGAGAGAAGAGAGAACAGGTGTGTGAGCTCCCAGGTCTAGAGACAGGCAGCCTTTTACAGCGGAGTGGGTGTGCGAGAGATGCAGGGAGATCGAGGTATTAACAGAGATAGAGAGAGAGATGACAGCAACGTGACGGTAGCCTTCATATATTGAGCGTCAACTGAACACTGAGCTAATGCGCAGATATCCTGCCACCGCCATGGTTCTGATGTCATCACATCCCCCAAGCTAGAGGCCCCTGTGGTGTCCTTACATCACTGTGACGTAGTTGTTTTCCTTCTTCTCCCATGAGTTGCAAAGGGATAAGTCATGCAGGCAGCCATTGATCAGTCTGATAAGGTAAGCAGTTGACGCAACAGGTTCAATTCTTTGGAACCGCAGGACCAAGGACAAGGCTCCAGATTTATTGGGCTAAGTAGAAAGTTACTTTGACCTAACTATTATGGAGATCTGCAAGAAAGTCTCTTACCCAAGGGTAAAAGGCCAAGTATTATCCTGTCAAAGGTTCACTCGGATTGGTACAAAAAGCAAAAAACATGGCAGCCTTTGGCAAGCCATTGGCAGATGATGGCTTCCACTTTTGAAAATTGGTTCCACTCATGCTTGTTGAGAAACCAAGACCCAAAAGTAAAACTTTCTAAGAGCATGAGGAAGAACAACTGAGAAGAAAACTCAAAAGGTAAAATTAAGAATGTACAGAAGAACAACTAAGAAGAAATAAGGGAAACAAAAGGGAAAGAGCAAGGGGAAGAACCACTAAGGCAGAGGAACCAATACTCAAATAGGAAAAAACTCTTCAAGAACATAAGGAAGAATCATTGAGAAGAACCAGATTCAAAAGGAAAAACTTTTTAAGAGCTTGAAGAACCACTGAGAGGAACCAACATTCAAAAGGAAGAACTCTTTAGGGGCATAAGGAAGAACCACTGAGGAACCAAGACTCAAAAAGAGAAACTTCTTAACAGCATAAGGAGGAAACAATGAGATGAACCAAGACTCAAAGGGGAAATGTGTTGTGCTGGTACAAGTGGATCAGACCCAGATGTACTGCAGGAGTTTTAAAGCTGTAGGACGCTAACATTACTGCTGCCAAGTGCTGATTGGTTGGTGAGCGGAGCAGCTCACTGGTTTGCTGTCACTGACGTCATGAATGTGACATTACAAAGTCATAGAATTGGAGTTCAAAAGCGCTTAAAACATAACAATATTGCAATATTTCATCCTCTAGCGTTTACAAACCCCGAAGACATTATTGAGTGGCAGTACATATTTCCTGATGAAACTCACTCACATTCCACAGGCCGCAAATTCTCCACAAGGGGGCGCCATTAGTAGCCAATTAGCTTTTGATTCATTTTGTAGTTTTGTGGGGTTTTTATTTTATTTTTTTTTGCTATTCACTTAAGAGAAGTTGATTGGGTTACACAGGAAAACAGATTAGTACTTATGCTATTGCTTCTTGGTGCATTATTGGTGGTTGGTGTAGTGTAGTGGGTAACACCTCTGCCTTCTACGCTGTAGACTAGGGTTCATTCCCCCACCTGGGTAAGCACCCTACACAATACCAATAAGACCTTGGGCAAGACTCCTAACACTACCTTTGCCTACCTGTGTAAAACTGATCAAACTGTAAGTCGCTCTGGATAAGAGCGTCTGCCAAATGCCATAAATGCTTCTCATATTGTAATTGAAATCCAGCAGCTTTGTCAAACATCACATTTTATGTCCATATTGCGCAGCCTACTCTCTGGATGCTCGTGTCCTTATCTTTTCACTTGAACTACTGGGCAAAGTTCAGAAAACGGATGTTACAGGCAGAAATAGAAGAGGTATATCTTAAGCTCCTGTGTTAAATGATCGATAAAATCCAGCACTGTCTATTTAACTCTACCTAACGCCGTGCCCTTTGCAATCCAGCAACAAACATTAGAGAGGTGAAGAAGAGGAAGACAGCTAATCACAGTCTAACGATTCCGTCTGAAATTAAGTCTAAGTGCCACTTAAAGACCACTGAAGGGGAGGGGGAGGGTGGTGTGTGCGTGAGAGGTGGGGGAAACATCGACCTGTCAGTCAAATTAATTTCCAGCTTAGCACAAGCATTCACAGCCTCCCACTGGGATGCTAGACCTGAAACCAATCAGCCTCAAAAGGTTAGACCTGATTGCAGCCTTTGGCTTTTGTTAAATAGGGCTGTTTAAAGGGATGAGTTAGTGCAGGTGGGGCAGGAGAGGACAACGTGTGTGCCTAAGAGAGATACTCCAATGTTGTCACCCAGCCTGAAACACATGAGAACCTTCACTGATAATTAGTCCTCCAGCTGAAAGATGAAATGCATATTCATGAACTGAGAGAAACAGGCCGGTGAGATGTGGGTCAGGCTAAACAACCCTGTTCTCTCAGACTCGCAGGGGTATGGAGATGAGCTCATCGCTGTTTTATAATAGAGAGACAAAATAAATTCAAATGAAAAGGAGAAATCAAACACCTACCATAAGTACACAGAGGCCGCAATACATATATGTTGTATATATCTATATATATATATATATATATATATATATATATATATATATAGATATATACATCAAAGTATATATCTATTTTTCAGTATTTAGTCTGTCCACATTTTGACTTTATTACAGCTTCCATTTTTTTCATGTGATTTGCTTTTATTTTCTCAAAGAAATCTGTAGTCTCACCTCCAAAAGTCAGTCTTAGAAGTTCATATTTTCTGTTTCTCAAGTAACGGTCCAAGTAATTACAAACATATTCAATGATATTTGAGGTCTGCGTGGTTGTCCAGTTTCGGTGTTCTAGTGAAAATGTTCTTATTGTCTTTTCCTTTTTCTCACAGTAAAGGTTTGGAGCTTGATTTTCCCCTCTCCGTCTTAAAGATGAAAGTGCTGTCTATCTGCTTGGGACAGTTTTGGTGGTCTACCAGGTCTTGCACAGTTGTTAGGAGTACCATTTTCTCTGTATCTTTTAATAATTTTTTTACCTGCATTTTTGGAAACTCCCATTTTGCACGTTTTTACTTTCCTCTTACAACCCCATTTCCCGAAATGTTAGGCTGCTGTGCAAAATGTAAATAAACCTAAATGCAATGATGTGCAGATCATTTAAACCTTATATTTAATTGAAAATAGTACAAAGACAACATATCTAATGTTGAAACTGAGAAATGTTAGTTTTTTGAAAAATATTTGCCCATTTAGAATTTGATGCCAAAAACACATTCCAAAAAAGTTGGGACGGGGGCAACAAAAGGCTGGTAAAGTTGTGTAATGCTAAAAAAACACCTGGTGGTTGATTGATAACAGGTCCGTAACATAATTGGGTATAAATGAGCATCCCAGAGAGGCTGAGTCTTTCAGAAGTAAAGATGAGGAGGGGTTCAGCACTCTGTGAAAGACCACACGATCAAATAGTGCAAAAATTCAAGAATAACGTTTCTCAATGTAAAATAGCAAAGAACTTCAGCTTTTCATCATCTACGGTACATAATATCATAAAAAGATTTAGAGAATCTGGAGAAATCTCTGTATGCAAGGGACAAGACCAAAAGTCAGTGTTTACTGGCCATCATCTTTGGGCCCTCAGGCGGCACTGCATTAAAAACAGACATGATTCTGTAGAGGAAATCACTGCATGGGCTCAGGAACACTTCTAAAAACTGCTGCCTGTGAAAACAATTTGTCGCTGCATCCACAAATGCAAGTTAAAACTCTTAAACGCAAAGAAAAAACCATATAAACAGGATCCAGAAACGCTGCCATCTTCTCTGGGCCCGAGCTCATTTAAAATGGACTAAGCTGAAGTGGAAAAGTGTCCCGTGGTTTGATGAATCAGAGATTGAAATTCTTTTTGGACATCATGGACACTGTGTCCTCCTGGCTAAAGACGACTCAGCTTGTTATCAGTGCACAGATCAAAAGCCAGTATTCATAATGATATTTGCGGCAATCGTGCACAGGGCATGGGTGACTGGCACATCTGTGAAGGCACCATTAATACTGAATGATATAAACATGTTTTGGCAACATATGCTGCCTTCCAGACAACATCTTTTTCAGGGAAGGCCTTGCTTATTTCAGCAAGACAATGTCAAACCACATTCTGCACATATTACAACAGCATTGCTCTGTATTAAAAGAGTCTGGGTGCTAAACTGGCCTGCCTGCAGTCCAGACCTGTCACCACTGAAAACATTTTCTGCATTATGAAATGAAAAATACGACAAATGAGCCCCTGAACTGATGAGCAGCTGAAATCCAATATCAAACAAGAATGGGAAAACATTTCACTTTCAAAACTACAGCAGTGTCTCCTCAGTTCCTAAATGCTTACAGAGTGTTGTTAAAAGAGGAGGTGATGAAACACAGTAGTGAACATGCCCCTGTCCCAACTTTATTGGCATCAAATTCAAAATGGGCATATATTTTTCAAAAAACAATAAAACTTCAGTTTCAACATTTGAAATATGGTTGACATTATTTTTATTTACATTCTGTACAGCATCCCAACTTTTTTGGAAATTGGGTTGTACTTATGTAAGTGGTTTATTTTATATCTAAAACAGAAATATTTCCTTCAGCCATTTTAGATGCTCCTGAGAAAGACATCTGAAGGCAGCTGACTTTGAGTAGGTGCTTGCATGAATGCCTCTTTAAAGGGGAACATAATGTGAGTGAGATCTTTAGGAACAGCTTTTGTTGGGGGGAACACAGCTGTAACTGGTGTGTTTTAAGATCGGAAGCATGGAAGAAGGGCAGTAGGGTGCGCAAAAGTAAAGAGCAGACAAATTAAACACTGTTAGATTCGATATACTTAGTGTTGGAGGCTTTTGTGTACTTTTCCGTTTAATATATTTCCTGCTTTTTTCCTGATGCTGAAAAATAACTTGCACTTGATGGCAATTTGACTGGAAGTTAAAGAAACAAAAGGGGGGGGTCTGACTTTTGCACAGTACTGTTCATCTGATTACTGTTATAAGACAGTATGCACCAAACAACTGAAAAGAAGTATTTAATATGTTCAAAAAGATTGACAAAAAAGGTTTGTTTCAAAGATACTCCTTGTGCTCTGGGCTTCAACCTTTTAATCAATATCGACCACAAACAGGTCCAAGGGCCCTTTTTTCACATCAGTCCATGTAAGAAAATGTTGACCACCGTGGCGTCTTCTCTTAGAAAGTTCTCAACAGCTGTTAAAGATCTTTCTTGCACTGTGCTTATCAATGGTCTTTGCTCTCATACACCTCAAATACATACTGCAGGCCGTTTTCCTCCTGTAATCCGGTAGGGACTCCGGGAAACCTAGACACAAAAAATTCTCAATTAAAAATAGCTGAGACTGTATTAACCCTCTTCCTACCCACACACGATTAAAAAAAAATACTTACCAATTATAATGGCTAAGTTCTAATAAGGTCATAACACTACTTCAATAATATCTACCACTAAGAATGAACATGCATTTAACATGTTTATCCAACAGCTTATGTATATTTAACATGTTAACATTTAACATTTAACGGCCTTTTCTGTTTAGGGTAGAACATTGCAATAACTCAAACATCTCTATGACCCCAATCCCCCAGCCAGAAAGACTCCCAAAACACAAGATGCAGTCTCTACATTGCCCTCTGGTGGATTGTACTGTTCAGACAGTTTATGGTTCTTAAAAAGACACTAATATGTCATTCCAACTTGCGTCCTATAGTGCTGCTGCAGAAGTCTGTAGTGTGAGATTTCTGGTTTATAGACTAGGAAATCGCATTCTGATGTATCTTGATGTTGGAATTATTCTGAAAAACTATAATGGCTTTGTAATGATTTTTGTTGGGGCAGACTTTTTCAATTTTCAACTAAAAAAGCTGCCCGGCTGGGGAATCGAACCCTGGTTTCCAGCGTGCATAGCTTATCCAGTGTGCTACCCAATTGCTCTGGCTCTGTCGTTTGCTTCTCCACATATACTGCACTTGCAGGCAATCCTAATTTGAATTGTCTCAGCACTGACTCGTTTCTGGCAGTGTCTTAGCGCAAGGTAGTGGACAACAAAGCACTTTTGTAAGTCAATGTGGATTATATAAGCGTAAATGTGTACTTGATTTTATAAATATATATATATATATATATATATATATATATATATATATATATATATATATATATATATATATATATATATACACACACACACACACACACACACACACACACATATATGGCTAGGCTTGCAGTCAGGATTGGATGACACCACAGGGATTCCTAACAGTTGTATGATGCATTTGCATAAAACATGCTGGGTGTTGTAGTGAAAAAGCATTGATGAATAAAAGCAATATGTCAAACTGACAATGCTGAAGGATGCAGTGCTGCGCTACATAATAGATCATAACAAGAATAAGAACATATTAAAAGCTAGTTTCAGGCCAGAACACCAAATTAAACTGGAGAATGTATACTGCCGGCAAGCATCTAAGTTGACCATCAAAAAGCCTTGTTTACTGTTCAACGTTTTAGGCTTTAATTAGTATCCCTGATGGCTTTTTGCTGTCAAGAAATCTTACAGTGTAACACATTCACCCAAGAGTCCCCCCATAATGGTTAGCTGTCTTTTTGCATCGCTAAGTCATCTAAACGGTTTAAAACAGACAGATGTCTGTGGACATACACAAGGGGCTCGGCCTGCTCGGCACGTCTGTCAGATGAGCTGGAGTAAAAGATAATAATGGTGTGTTGTGCTTTCATTGGCCCTGTAAGTACTCTCCAAATGACTGCTGAGTGCAATAACTTGACATTAGGTACAACTCTATGCTGATGGCTCATGCCACTTTTATGTCACAAGAGAGCCTAGAGCCTCTGTTGATTTCAACTTTTCAGTGTTGAATTCAAAGCCAGACACGTGTGCCAACAAATCCATTTGCGCCCTTGTAATGTAAATGTAAAAATCACTACAAAGAGAAATAGTGAACCTAATAAAAGGGCTGTTTACAAGTGCATAAATGAGCTCCAACTTAAGGCCAACATGGACAGTCTGTGGCTGAGGAGGTCACGGGGAGCAATATTAGTACCCTTTAGAGCCCATTTCAGACTGGCCTTCCGTGGTAGGAGTGTAGACTTCAACTAGAAATTTACAAGCCTAGGCAAATGACAAGACCTCCTGGAACAGTATAGTTAGATAAAACTTAAAACTAGAAACAGAATGAAATTTCGGCTGCCGAAACGTTTCATCACTTTTGGGTTTCAGCCGGAAGAGAAAAAAGGCTGAGAAGTTTGGCTGAAAAAAATCTAAATTATTAAACAGTTCTACAATAAAGTATCAAAATATAACACTTAAAGAATCTGAATGGTACTGAAAATGAGTAATAAGGATTATAAACTCTTTCCTTGCTCTCCTGTGCTGGCCAGCGCAGATGCATTCAAACAGTTTGAGCAGCATCAGATCAACAGTAAAACACAAACGCGGTATGGTGAAGCTGCGTTCAATGGACTCTTCAGCTGACGTGCTTTTTAGCATTGACTGATTTAATGAAGATAAACGCTAAACTTTTTTTGCCTTCGGGTTTGTAAGTTGTTTCTGCAAACACATGCGTTCATTAGATCCTGCTGAGGTTTATGGCTCATTCTTCCTTCTAAATAATGTGACATGTTAGAGAAACTGCAGACTGCTGCAGGAGAGCTCAAAAGCCACATCACTTTACGTATTTCTGTTGTCCACTGTCCATATTTCTGTTGTCAGTGTGCTTTAACTGTTAGATAATAACCACTAGAAAAGGGCTAAAATTAAAAGGGAGCATGTACTAGCACATGATTATTGTACCACTCACTCAGGCAGCAGCGTGTACTTGTCCAGGTTGATCTTAGGAATGAACGTGTCACAGTCAAACTGCTTCAGAATCCTTGTTACAAACAGGCGCTTTTGTCCAGAGCTCTCCATTGCCTCCTGTTGAAAAGTGAGAAAAATTTGACTTTGTGAGCAAACGCACTGTCATATGTGATTTTAACTTGCATCTACAATCTTTGCATTCCCTTTTCTTCACAAAAAACCCCTTCATAAATTAACAAGAATTTTATTTCCCTGTTTTAAACATGAGAAATCTGTCTTGTTATGAATATCAGAAGTACATTCTCTATTCTTCTGCAACTACAAGCCATGCCTGCACAACACAGGACACTTACAAAATACGTTTAATAAATGAGAATGCATAAGCAGTCACACCAAAAAAATAAGCAGTGACTTTTCATTGATACAGTCCAAACTCAGCTGTTCAACAGTGAGCACCACCGATCAGTTCAATACACTAAAAGCAACCTTAAAAAGGTAAAAAGATGCTCAGTGACCAAGAGAGAAAAGAGGGAGGGAGACATGTGGGGATGAAGAAACTGGCTTTTGTAAAAGCATCCTTGAGCAGCGCAGTTCCCACAGCAACAGACTGTAAAGCGAGGAGGGTGAGCAGAGAAACTGCTGGAACATCCAGCTCAATATGCTGAGTGTACTCACATGTATGCATGTGTTCAGTTAGAAATATTAGCTTTAGCACTGTTTGGTGTTTAGTGTAAATTAATGCTGCGATTATACTATGTTCCATTTAAGGACATTACACTGTGTTTTAGTACTGACTTTTATTCTTTCCAGTAGTCATAATTTTAACACCATAAAGTTTAGACAGTCAGACAGACAGGGCTAATTGTAGTGTAGCGCGCTGGGGTCTCAGTTGCTGTACTGGCACGCCAGAGTCCCACTGCCTCCTTGTGGATCAATCATTTTGATTATCATTCTCATTGTCTGTGAAACTTCATGCCCTCTTTAAAATGGCGCGGAGATGTAGCCCCGATAGCCGTGTAGACGACCCTGCCTGCGATTCTCCTTCAACGAAACAGACAGACTCCTCTGGCTCTTTAATCTAAATAAACACAGTTTCCTGCACACCTGTTTCAGCCGTTTCTTATAGTAATAACAGGCTGGTGCAATTTTTTTCTCAAAATATTAAGACTTTATTCTTAAAGTCTACTATTTTTATTTTCATTAACAGTGGTCCTAAAACGCCGTTGTAGCATGAATTAGGGTGTTTACTTGTTTACTTAGGTAAACAATTAATTGCATTTTAAGTTGGCGTACTAAATTAGTGTGGTTTATATCGTCAGTCTTTTATTTTACCTGTGCAAGTCTGTTTTTTGTAACTTCTTTTAAATATCATGCCACCCTTACATCATCTAAAGATTCAGGGACTCTGGAGAAATCTCTGTGTGTAAACGGCAAGGACGAAAACCACTACTGATTGCACTCAACCTGCATCAGGTTGCGCACCGCAAATGATTATAAACGGTTGTTAAGAAGGAAAGGGTAATTAACACAGAGGTAAACATGATCCTTTCCCAGTCCTTTTGGAACATGTTACAGGCATCAAATTTGGAATAAGTGTACATTTACAAAATAAATTAGTCAGGGAAAACATCAAATATCTTAGTAATTAGTAAAAGGAATATACTACCCAACCCAAAAAACACAATTGGTTACATAATCATCATCACTCTTGGATGTGATTAATTCATATAACCAGCTATCTATAACTAAGTAATCAGCAGACACTCTCCATGGCAGAAAGTCACTTACTGATGCGTTCAAATATTAATACACTTTGGCTTTTGCCACTGTTGCAGCAACAGTAAACCAACAGTACGATTTATATCACAACCTTCAAAACGGCTCTGGCTACACATCATGTCACTCTCAGCAGCAGCATTCATGCTTGCACATAATAAAACATCTACACAAGTCAGGAATTATTTACTTGATCAATTAATTGGCTAATAAATAAAAAAGAACATACAATTCTTACTGTAACACTCAATAAAAGTTACAGAAAAAAGTACTATTTACACTTATGGGTACAGAGCACTCTGTTCCAGAAAGGTCAGTTTACTGGGGTAGGAAATTACTTCTCTGCAGTGGTCAGGGTTACCATGCAGGTAAGCTTTACCTTTACCCCCCATGTGACCAGAAGCAAGTCAGCTACTGAGTGTTTTTCAGTCATTCTGCCTGACAAACTCATGTCTGTCATATGCAAACTCCTATAAAACTAACTGGGGTCAAAGGTTTTCTAAGCGTGCACGTTTAGGAGTCTGGGTTCTTTCACCATTTTGTATGGATTTCCTCCTGCTACCTATGAACGCCACCTACTAGTGCTTAGTATCTCCCAACTGAGGACAGACACAGCTCAAATAAGTCAACATTACTTAACACTGCCCTCTAAAGCTGTTATTAACAACCATCAAATAAACAGAAGTTACTCATGGCTGCCCTCTAAAGGTGTTCAAATCAGCTCAAATCAGTGATTATGTAATAATTGTAAGAGGCCTATTATTGGATTATAATAATACCTTGATTCATCAAAATAGAAACATCTATCTGGAACTAAGACTGGTTAAAGTGCTGACACGGCACAATTTGAGAAAAAATAAACGTGAAAAAAAAAAACAGAACTTTTGTCACTGGTTAAAGTCTCATCTGTTTGTTGTAGTAATGATTAACAAACAATACGCTGTACAGCCATAGACAGCACTCCTGAAATGATGAATGTATCTTTCTTAGTCTGTCTGAAGCTGCTCACCTTGTATAATGAGCTCCCACCAATGACCCAGATCTGGTCGGCTTGAGATGCTAGCTCTGGAGTGTTCAGCAGGCTGAGAGCTGAGCTGAAGTCAGATGCCAGATAGTGTGCTCCCTCTGGAGGCGTCCTAAACCAAAAATGCTGTAGTTATGGCTGCACAATATGAGCAAATACTATACTGTGACTGTACTATGTACTGTGACTGCAATATGCTTTGAAATATATTACAAACATCTTGAAGTGACATGGTTAAGACTGGCCTGCATTATTTTACCATTGTTGGAACACCTGAGTTCTCACCCACAGAAACTTATCAGGAACATCTGAGGTTGTTCAGGATGCTTGCATGTACACAATGGAAATTTGTCATTTATTAAAGGGCTCATTTGCATATCAGTACAGCAAAGGTCAATACTGTGATAAATAGCAAACAATATCTTGTGCAGGGACTGTTCAACTTAGCATTCCTGACTTTCACAAAACCTAATAAATGCTCTGTTAGGTTTAGCTACTCAAACTATGTTTAATCTCCATGCACAATGACCAATCATGAAAAACATGAGATCTTATTTTTCAAAAAAAGAAAAAAGTACCAAAGGGGTCTACCTCCACTAGAAGCCTGCCCCGATTGATCAAAGAGCTGTTTATGACCCCAAATCATGAACTGAATGTGCTCTCAAAGAGGCAAGGCATGCAGCCTAAGTTGCCATAGCAATGTAGCCCAGTAAAAAAGTGATCTAACATCATGAAAAAGAAAAAACAGCTTAAACTAAATATTGTAATTTGAGGGATGAACTATGAGATATGTGACTTTAATCCAACAAGAATCTGTAATTTCTGTAGTTTTTACAAGTCTGCTTAGTAATACTTATGGATCGAATGACCATTTACCTATAATTTCTCAAACTTAGGGCTCCGCTGGTTATTGTAGTCCAGTTTGAATCAACTTCACATTAATGTAACAACAAATACTATTCTACCTGGTATTCACTCAAAGTTTATTTTTGTTGTTTGGATCCATTTAATTCTAATCTAAACTAAAGATGATGTGAACGATCCAGGCTATGATGTTTTGATTTGGGCTATCTGAGGAAATCTGAGGAAATTACACATATACTTTATCCCATATGAATCTGCCAGTCGAATCCATTACAAATTACATAGTGGAGCCTCCTCTGGTGAAACTAATCCAATCTGAATAAGGCTTAAGACAAAAAACAAACAAGCAAACAAACAAAACAAAAACCTGCTTTGTGAAAGTGAGACAGGTCTAAGGCCTTGATTAGGTCAATACCTGACTGTGGGAATGCCTTAACAAACTGACAGTCCTTCATCTGACTGTTAAGGTAATGGTAACTACTTTTGTAAAGCTAACTTATAACAAATTCTCCTTTGTATATACTACCAAAAACTTTCTTACCCAAACACTAATTACTTGCATTTCACTGAGCAGGCTGTGTTAGCCAAAACATTATTCTTACTTGAGCTCTCTGCTGAGAACAACGTTGATTCTGTTCTTTAGAGGCCGGTTCTGCGGAGGTATCGAGAACCAGGTCTTTCTGCCCATTAGGACCACATTCTTTTTACCTGTCAAATCATTTGCACATAACATGTTCAGTTTACAGAAGAATACAGGTAAAGTAATAATGTGCATTAAAATAAAGAATGTGATGTATGCTGACTTCCATTGTGTTACCTTCTACAGTAGGAGTCATCGTCATCTTCTGAAAGTGTTTGAATTCCTTACTGCAAACACAAGCATCCACAATTTACTGTATCACACAGGTGTTCAAAAATGGCTGTAAATTTTTCGCTACTTGTTCATACACACAAAGTGAGGCCTATCACCAGAACCAAAGCAGGTGCAATGACTCTAATTCACTTACTATTTGTCACAGGTGAAAAGTGAGCTGAATGTAATACTTTAGTGTTCACCCAGCCAAAGTCATGAGGTCTGGTTTTGCACATCAGTCACTCTATATAATGACAGGACAAGATCACGTTTTTCTATAATGATTTAAAAGAGGAATAAAACTATAAATTCATGATGATTTCACAGGACTAGCTTAAAAAACTATTTCCCCCCATAGATTAACATTCAGCCAAGATGCCTTGGAGTAACTAGAGTTCACCATCCAAACAACCACTTTTCACAAGCCTTTTTACTTTGGACTCTGAACTGTGAAGCCAACTGCACTTTTGGACTCCAATGTCTGAGTGGCCCGTCTTTCTAATACACGATGAAATATCAATATTTTAATATTTGTGAAGCATTAAAATACTCGTGAAAGTTTTTTGAGGGTTTATACAGCAGATATTTAAACAGCGGATACTGTAGTATGTGTTATACCCAAACTCTAACAGAACAAATGAAGAGCAGTTAGTAAAGTTAGCCAACGTTGCTACCCTGAGGGAAACAGAGAAGCAGCTGTGCAACGACTCAGGTTATCAAAGACAGGGATTCCATTCAGTTTATGTGAAGGAAAGACTTTATTTAATACAACAGTGGAGACATTCGACGTTAAAATACTCAAAAGATAATTTTATTTAGTAGTAGTGCTGTTTCAACATACACCTCACATCTAGGTTAAGAGTGGCTAAATATCTTGCTGTTCAGAGCTAAAGTGAACAGACATATTCCGAACAAAACTGTGGACAGTGCCACCACATCACGGTCTTCTGCTGAGAGAAAACAGCTGTTGAAGGTGGTCATCCAGCTTGTTGACCGGTGGGGTGGTAGTACAGGCGACTGGACTTCAGGTAACGTTATTATTGTAAACGTCCACGATTAAAAGTACATAAAACATTACGTTAGATTGGTGCTGCCGTTGTGACTGCTGGCCAGAAACCGTTATTTTGAATTTTTGTTCAGTTGGCTCGCGGGGAAATTTGAAAATAGACACTAGCTAACAAATGAAGCTAAGCTAGCTACTTTGGTTTACTTCAGTTTTCAACCTAAACATGCGCACTCTTCGGTTTAATACCGGTGTAAATTATTTTCCCAAAGACTTTAAGCTATATATCCACCACTGTTCGTTGGTTAAGATGTTTAACAGCAGTGTTTACCGTGTTCACCTCAACCTCAGTGAACGCATTAGCTAGTTTTAAACGCTAACGTTAGGTTAGCTAACTAGTTAACATGCCGAGTTTAGTAACGGGTTTACGTGCAATATTAACTTAAAGGCGAATTCATGCAGGACTTGTCCTGAATACAAAGATCTTCAGTGAGCTGAGAGCAGCTGCTGCTGTTACCTTAATCTAATAGGGTGCCAGGGCAGATTGCCGTTCCTCCCGATTCCCATATCAGGACAAACTGCAACAATACAGTTCAGTACAGAAGACATCATATGGCTGGTTATATGTTTATATCAATGACAGATGTGTGGTCGCGGCGCTGGAGCACTACAGAATCCAAAGGGTTCCCGCCGAATGCGTCAGAGGAAATGAGATAAACAGGCAACGCCCACTAGTAGAGCCCGTCGTTAACAGGCTGGCGGTGCAGGTCAGGCTGAGAGCGCATGTCTGCAGACAGACCCTTAAATTGGCTAATGCAAAAACTGACGGACAGCTCGTTCTAATCTGCCGTTGGCCAATGAAAATGTGATTGATGGCCAAGAGTAGTTATTTAATTGGTTGATGCAAAAAAATGATTGACAGACTCCCGCCCCCAGTTCCCTCCCCTTTAGGGCTCCGGTCTGCAGCATTCCCCATCTCGTCTGTTGTGGCGTTACATATTCTGGGTGCGTTTCATGGGCTTTTAATTTGAACAGTTCAAGTTAATTTTAGTTCTAATTGAAAAGCCAGTAGAAAGAAAATGAGTCCTTAACTTTTTCTTTTCAATTTGACTAAATATTGAGATATTTCATGGTGTAAAAACTGGAAAGGTGTGCAACACACCAAAAGGACTATTAGTCATTTGGCCAGGGGTGCCCAAACTTTTGCACACAACTGTATACTCATATCCTCTGTGTTCTGTGAGCTGTCACAAGCCTCCTAAATCTAGATGTGTTGAATATAGTTTTTTTATTGGTGTTTAGGACCCTGGAACACTTAAGATAGATATTTTTTATTTTAACCATTTTTTTTTCAGGTCAGGTAAGTCTGAGTGTGCACATTTCACCATGTTAACAACACTAGTAGTATTTCAAGTAAGAATCTTTCAGTAAGCCTAAATATCACATGTAACGTTTTGTTTTGAGAGCACTGAATTAGAGGCAATTTGCCTGAAATCACTTTTTTAATTGTTGTTAAACATGTTAGACATTTCAATTTTGCAGAATAAAAAGGCAGATTCTGAGATTCTGAAAAAGAGTTTGATGTGATGAGTGTTGGATATCAGCAATATACACAGATTTACTAAACAAAAAGCCTATTCTACCCAGACAATGGCATCACTAGTCTAACATTACTAACATTTAGATATTTTTATACAGAGATCTTCAGTTGGCGGTATAGTCGAAGTGCACAACGTCTGTGAAGAACAAGAAGATGAAACTGGATGGAACTACACAGCATTTGAAGTCTGAGAGAGCTCAGTGGCTAAGTATTAAAAAAGCAAAGAAGAAATATGCAAGAGCTTTCAATGAGAAACTACCAAGATAGGAGTTAAGGCCTATATTTGAATCTGAAGGCTGGAGTTTTGGAGCTCTGGATGAATGGACGAGTTGTAGTTCTTGGTGAGCAGCTTAGCTCAGCCCCAATTTAAAGAAGATCTGTTCCCAAGCCAACCTTGAGCTTATCTACAGTTGACCTAGTCTGATATATTTCAGCCAATGAGAATGGCTCTGGGTGGATTAGAGTAAATATGCACTAAAACTTAGATATGAAACTAGATATCTCCTGTATTCAGTTTGTGTATGAAGTGTGAATTTTCAAATTTTACTTATATGAGAAATTGAGCACCTGTATTTAAAAATGCGTACGTGTAGATTACAACTGGAACTCAGCCATCTGACTAACAAATGCATGTATGCATTACCCATAGACAGCATGTGTGCTGACCCTGAAACCATGTGATTAGGTTTTCTCTTCAACCCTTTATCTAACATGCCAGAAACTTTGCCTTCATCTCCTGGGTTGTGCAGTGAAGCTCAGTTAGACTCAGAATGATGAACAGAGCTGAAGATGATTCTAAAGTGATTAAAAAAGCTGTTTAGCATCAAGAATTAGGTTATAATAAAGGTTCTGAAAAAAAAATCACATTATAGACCAAACTTTGTTGGGAGTGGGCTTTGCACATAGAAGAAATATTAGTGCTAAATTTTGATTTATACCATCTTTGTTAGAGAAATTAAAATGTTTTCCATTATAGGTCAGCTGTTATTATTTTCAAAACTCATTATACCCAAAATTGTTACAGATGGATAGACAGCTTTTGGATAACACAGAATTAATAATCCTACTATCCAAATTTGAATGCCTACTTCAAAATTGGTGATCAAATCTCAAAACAGAAACTTTACTTTGTTGATTTACAGTAGGAATGCATTGTTAAATAATTGTAGTATATTATTTATCATTTAATGTTAATGTTACAAATTAATGTTTAAAGTTGTTTTTGGGTCTCAAAGTACTTGGAATGCAGAATAACAAATGTACAAATATGCTTTAGTGTCTGTTTAAAAATATTCAAAGTCCCAGGGAGCACCATGTAAAATATTTTTTAAAAAAGTTGTATTCAGGGGCTGCCCTGTGATGGACTGGCGACCTGTCCAGGGTGTATCCTGCCTTCCGCCCAATGACTGCTGGGATAGGCTCCAGCACCCCACCGCGACCCAGAAGGATAAGCGGTTTAGATGACGTATGTATGTATGTATGTATGTATGTATGTATGTATTCAGGGGCGATTCTAGGGTGAGAGTTTTAGTGGAGCACCCTAAGAAACCAGCTTTTTATTTTAGACCAAAAAAATCCCAAAAACAGAAGAACTGAGTCACAATCTTCAGTTCCTACGCTGAAAAATGCTTAATGTAGTAGATGTTCCACTGCAGTACTCAGTACTTAAGTAGATTTTCGACCTGCTTCTTTTGTGTTTCTACTCAAGTCATGTCTTTTGTTCCACCATTCCTTTCAATTTGACTAAATAATGAGATATTTGTGAGCTGTCACAAGCCTCTTGTAAATGTGTTCAACCTGTACTGAATATCATTTTTTATTGGTGTTTTGGACGATGAAAGACGTTTTTCACTTTAACCATGTTTTTTTCAGGTAAAGTGGGGCAGTGCTTTAAGTCTGTGTGGTCTATTGGACGTACAACAAAATCCTCTGTAGAGCAACAAACCATTTAACCACATTTTACCATATTAACACCAGTAGCATTTCAATAAAGAATCTTTCAGTAAGCCTAAACGTCAAGTTTTATATATTCATGCACACACTCCTCAATGAATACACAGCTGTATACTCTTATCTTTGGTGTTTTGTAAGCTGTCACAAGCTTCCTAAGTGTAGATGTGTTCAGCCTGTACTGAATATAGGTTTTGGTGTTTTAGACTCTGGAACACATGGTTTTTCACTTTATCCATTTTTTTCAGGTAAGGTGGGGCTGTGCTTTAAGTCGGTGTATATTACCATATTACCAACACCAGTGGTATTTCAATAAAAATTTCAATAATATGTACCTCACTGAAAAGAGATACGTGTGTAATTTTTTTATTTGAGAGCACTGAATTGTTTGCAGTTTGCACAAAATCACTTTATTAATTGTTGTTAGACTTTAGACAGAAAGAAATTCAGAAAGAGTTTGATGTGATGAGTGTTCACAGATTTACTGAACAAAAAGCCTATTCTACCTAAACAATAGCATCACTAGTCCAACATTAGATGTTTTTTTGCAAAGATGTTCAGTTGGCAATGTAGCTGAAGGATAGAGCGCCTTTTTTCAGGGTGCACGTACGACTATATGACCCGATTGACACTGCAAGTGAACAGATGCCCAGTTGTTCATCATACTTAAGGTCTTCATCCCACACCTCAAACCTCAGAGTAGATCCAAACCTGCAGCTCGGGAAGTTGAACTCTTTAGCCCAGATGGGGCTATGCGTGCCCTTAATGGTCTCGGTCCTGCCGCCGTAGTTGCTGCCACACCACACCTTGACCAACGCGTCGGGGAGGTTTCCAGAAGCGTCGCTTGGCAGGTTGTTGGCTCGGAGGTTCCGAACACGGACAGCAGCATCGCTTAACATCGCGTGAGATGCCAGGAGCAGGGCGGCGAGGGATATCAGACGAAAAGAGAAAGCCATGGTGTTGTCTGTGAAGAACACAGAGAAGAACACTGGATATATGCAAGAGCCTGCAATGAGAAGCCACCAAAATAGGAGTTAAGGCCTACATTTGAATCTGAAAGCTGGAGTTTTGGAGTTCTGAATGAATGGATGAGTTGCAGTTCTTGGTGAGCAGCTTAGTTCAGCCCTAATTTAAGCAAGATCTGTTCTCAAACCAGCCTTGAGCTTATCAACAGTTAACCTAGTCTGATATATTTCAGCCAATGAGAACGGCTTTGGGTGGAGTAGAGTAAATATGTACTAAAACGTAAATATGAAACAAGATATCTCTTCTGTTCAGGAAAAGTGGGAATTTTCCAATTTTACTTGTATGATAAGTGGAACACCTGTTCCGTGGAAAAGGACACGCTTCAAAGGCAGCAATATATGGGTCATTCTACAAAAACGTCCACTTTTTTTAACTATCCATAGGAGTCACTGGTGTTACTGATCATCACTGGTGTTACACATCAGAAAGGTAACAGCAGGGACATTTTTAATGAACAATGCATGTCTGTTACAGAGCATTAAACCACATGTTGTCAATCATGGAATATCCACTAAAATATGAAATTTAATCCATTTGTATTCTATTTTTTCACAATTACCTAAGAATAAAGTAGGTCACACCAGTGACTTCAGCTAAAAGCTTCATATGAAATTATGAGCTGAATGAGAAAATTTCTGATAACTGAAAGACACAGTGGACTCACTATATGCTTTTCTTCATAGATCCTCAGAAAATAGGTAAAAGGAAGTCAAGTAATGTCATCAGTGTGATTTTTATTTCAAAATAAGAGATTTTTGTTATGCAGTAACACCAGTGACACGACTCCTGGGGCAACAACTTTCATTATATATTTTATACTGTTTATTTGGCATTTGTTTTCTTAATGTCATTTAAATAATATATTTCATAGTCATGTATAGATTATTGCAGTTAAAATTGTAGAAAAACGTTTTTTTTACCTCAAAATACAGCACTCACTCTTTACACATGAGTGTGAGGAGACTTCTGTGGTGCTTGGAATTCTGTATAATTGATTTAAAAACCAATATTGCTAAATTGAGGCTTAAGAAGGTGTAATTGTTAAAATAACTTGTTTTATTTTAAAATAGAAATAATAGAAATAAGCCTGACATGTTTTTCAAGTGTATATCTGTAAATGCTAGGGACACAAAAATAGATGTTTCTATAGCATGACTCATTTCACAAAAGTGCCAAGATACCAATATATTTTTAAAATCCTT